CACAATGGAATGGACTTTTCCATATGCCTTTTCACAAAGAGAATAGCCTCGCCCAACTTGCTTCCCCTCAGATGAATGTCCTTGTCCCACCTGTCACCCCTCGAGTGGAATGGACTCAACCTACCTGAAACCCCTCAATCAAAATGAACTGTTCCCACCTGACACCCCTCAAAGTGGAATGGACTCGCCCCACCTGACACCCCTCAAAGTGGAATGGACTCGCCCCACCTGACACCCCCTCAAAATGGAATCACATCAATCACATAACTATAATATATTTCAAAAGTTTTATTTTCTGTAATAGGAAATAACTTATTTGACAGAACAAATATGTCACGATAAACAAAATCCAAAGAGAAACATTTAAATACAAAAATATACAAATGCATTTAAATGGACATCGACTTCCACACACACTTTGTGCATGACCGTTACCTGAGAGAATGTAAATTTGCAATGATAGAATTACACATCACATATATGCCAAACATATTTTTTTTTATTTTGTTCACTTTTATCACAACTTATCGAAGTTTTGAAGACAATGACATTATGAAAGATATATGTAACAAACTGGACAAGTCGAGTTACCTGCATACAAAACGCCTCAAAATATATCCACAATAAGAAAATTAAATAACACATTGTGGAACAAGACATTAAAAAGTATTCCATTATCTTTTAACACTATTTTTGCTCTAAAATTAAGCGCTTTCATAGTGTTATTCAGTATCACACAATTATTTTTTAAGGCCTATCCACGTTACAAGGAAGTAGAACAGGTTTTTTTAAAGAATTGGACTCACCATAGCCTGGATTTAATGGGTAGATTTTGAAAAAATTATTCCTCTCATTTGCCGAAACTTTAAACAACTAAATTTTTACATGCTAAAGGTACTGGATTTTGAATAATGGCGTCTTTTTTTCTATCAGAAAATAATCTCTAAAAAATGGTGCACAAATAGACTGACGACTTTGAAAAGAACGTCTAAAACACCATTCTAACCGTCTACGGTGTATAAACTAGATCCGAATACGTCAAAAATTGGCAGTTCCGCAATTTAATCAATTTCATATTTTGTGATAAATGCACCAAATCTTATTAATAGTGATATCACAATAAAGACTTGCATCGTTTTAAATTTCATTTTTACAATTCACAAACTTTTTAATGAGAAGGAGAAAAAGAAAAGATTTCTAAACGAGTATATTGTAGGTTTTGATACATCAACCTTACTTCTGTAAAGATCAAACTAAAAACACTTCCAAAAAGCGCATTTATTACGGCGAAATTGTCGTTCATAGGTGTCGGAGAACATAAGCAAACCGTAACAAATAACAGTCGACTTCTACAATAAACATTGTACATCAGTAAGTAATACGGTAGATTAAGTAAACAGTTGTATGTAAGTTTCAGCTAGCAATATGGTGAAAATGCATTTTTACCGTCAGGAATATAGGAAAACCACGAAATTTACATAATGGCAATTTATACACTGTGATAATTACACTAAACATTGTATCATCAAAATTGGATTTATATTACCTGGATTTCAAATAGAACCAGATACATCGGTGCTCGTCTCAATGTTTAATTTGAAACGGATCAAGATCGTTCCTAAGGATATTCTTTCATAATTTGAATACAATTAATTACTGGGTATGACTGGGAAAAAAAAACAACCGATTTTAGCGCACATTTTCAATATTTAAAAAATTAAGAAATTAGGCTCAAATATTTTGAAAATCACAGTACAAGGATATATGATTTTCACCATATAGCATGTGTGTTTGGTGTATATCTGTGTCCGACTGACAAAATAAAACACGGACTGAAGGCTGGACAAGCTGCTATCGGTCGCATGTGCATTTGCATTCGGTAAAGGAGATGGCCGTTCTGAAATATAAAAATAACGGTAATAAAATAAATCAATATTCCAAATCCAATAACATTTGAACTAAGATAAAATGAACTGAAAATGGAAACGCTTCAGCTGATGTTGAAAAATTGCTTTGAGGTTGCCTGAATATCAAATTAAAAATATCGAATGAAAAGGGAATTCGATATTGCAAAATATAACGAATGTTGCACACTAGTTTCTATTACACTATAAGAATGACAGGGAAAATACGATCAAATATTATTGGAAAGTGTGCTCAAGGCTAAATTTAATGGATCTCTTTTACGGAGCGACAGAAATTAAATTCTTTCCATTATATTACTGGAAGAAAATAGTTAACAAAAACTCGGAACCTATAAAAACCGTATAGATGTGAAGAATTTTTTATGTCGTCATGAAAACCTATCAAAATGTCCCCCGCTTGTCTGCTTCAGTTACAAACAAGAATATGTTTCTATGATAAATGAACTAGATTCTACTGTAACCACCCCTTTCCCACTAATACACAACTAAAAATACTAAAACGTGTGGAAAATACTTTGTACACGAGACATGTACACGTACGATCAATGTTCTGGTGGTATTACAGTGAAAGTATCTGGGCACGATAAAAGGAATACCTAGACAAACTGTAGTTAAATACAATTGTTAATTAAATGTAGAAAAAAATGTTACTCACAAGTCATATTTGCTTCAAGTTTGAATAAAATATTCGGTCTTGGCACTACACCACACCTATCCTGCGTCCTCTTCTTACAGGGTCCAGCTGTCAAGTGACTATTCTGGAAGACAGCTCGCACTGCGCTGAGCGACGCATTGTTATGTAAATCACAACAGGTGTGGCCCATTTTGATTGAGGGGTGGCTGTTGAAACAATTCTCAAGGGAGAGATAAACCTTTATTTTACAAATTACTAGAAAAGTAAAAAAAAAATCTAATAAGCTCTGCAGTGATACAGATTATTTAATCAATCATTCATAATATATGTATATGGAATCATGCGTTGCAGAATGCACCAATACCTAACACTGTGCCCACTCAACACTGTCGGAAGGTTATTGGTTTAGACAGATAGTCCGCTCACCCGCCTTACCTATTGTGCTGTGGTTTGGCTCATTCTGTGTAGGGGGGTATACAGTATATGACGCATAGAGATCTTCCATGTATATAGTTCTACATATAAATAGATCGTAGGGTTTTCTGTTCGTAGTATACAATTTTTTAGCCTTTGAGCTGAAATCACAGAGTCATAATTTCAAAGGGTTCTATCAACTCGCTGACTAATTCAGAGTATCCTACATTGGGTTTTAGCGACTTAATCTACTTTTCCCAGACACAAAAAATAACGGTCGACCTGACCCCGCAGGATTCGAGGTTTTGTGCCATTTCTAATATAATAAGTTAGCTCTAAGGCTTCGTTCACATGCAATGTCTATTTTCTTAATTCTATTTTCTATTCGCGCTATCTTATGATCACTGTCTGTGCCCTGAATATCCCGCCGCGTAATTACTGGCAGCGCGAGCCAGTTACTTATAGTAACTTATAGTAACTGGCTCGCGCTGCCAGTAATTACGCCGCGGGATATTAAGGGCACAGAACGTGATCATAAGACATGCCGCGAATAGAAAATAGAATTTAGAAAATAGACATTGCATGTGAACGAAGCCTAAAAGAATTATGGGTCATTTAGACCCCATTCCCACAGAATTTAGATCGATCTATCCTTGTGGGGAGTCTCACTAGATTACTGTCAGCTTAGCCAGCTTAAATGTCTGTCCCGCCTACTAAAAGCTGTAAGGGGGTAATTTACTACCATGCGCGCTCGGCTGACAGCAATTTAGCGTGAACCCCCAGGGGGTTCAGTCGATCTAGATGGATCGATCTAAATCTATGGGAATGCACTCTTAGACGGCTTTGGTTTTCAGGCATTTGAGAAGGAAATGTAGTAGCTCCGCAGGATATTTTGACAAGAAAACATTGGAACGTGCACAGAATATCTTTTACTAATTCTTCTCTTCTTTTTATGTCACTGTGAGAGCAATTTGGTTTTCATTAAAGTTACCCATATCTGCAATTTTCATCAGTGAAAAAGTCTACATTGTACGACCAAATACCTCAAAATCGCACGCATGAGCCGGAGCAATACTGAGTTAAAATCATGCACTGCCATGTTTTGATCATTATATTTCCATTTTTGTGATGAGGGTATTAAAATCAAAATAAAATTTATTGGGTATAATTACAGAGAGTAAACACGGTATTATTGTATAGAATTGAATTTATCGGAGAACTAATGAGCTGTATATTGATGTTGGTTATATTTGAATCAGCTTTTTTTTAAAGACAACTTATCAATAGTAAATGCATGTATAATTGGTATCATATAGGCCTACATGTAGGCCTATATTAGCGGCTAGATGCGCGTCGCACAAAATGAAAAACAGGTACATTATACGATTTTATTTTGCATTTTAATACCTATACAAATATTCAATCAGTAGTCTGCTAGTTTTTATTAAAGAAAAAAATGTTGCTTGGTGGTCCGGATTCAGAATTGTTATTTACGATATTTGAAGTGCAGCATTACGGCACTTATTAGAGTAATACAAATGTAAGAAGTTCACATGACAAATAGAAATATACCTTTTAATAGACTGGATAAATTGTCTTATTCTCAGTGCAATATAAAAGGGAAATCTGATCGGAGAAAGACCAACAACATAGTAAATTTGCCGCGGTAGTATAGAAATGTAGACTATGTTTCATTTATGATTATGAAATAATTGTTTGTTCCTTAACCGTTAAAATCAGTTTTCTTATTGCAAGTAATATTGTTGTTTTATTCATATATTTTTTAGGTATAAGTCGCCTGTGAATTTACGTAATTTCCAATCAAATATTGACAACAAGGCTAAAATGTCCATTTTTCGCTGACTTAAATAGCGCCCTCTATCAACGTCACGGCTCATTGGTTTTATAGGACGACCACACTGAAATAAACCGTCTATCATAACCCAGTATCAAACCGAGTAGGCCTATAGATTGCCTAGGAAATAAAAGTCACTTTATGAGCCTCTTTTCAGTATCAGCGTCTAGTCTAGATCGACTTCACCAGCAGTAGTCTGCAACTATACACGCAGGTCAAGGTCATGAAATCTTGATTTCTGACCACTACACACCCCATCCTTACCGCAGCAATGGCCAAGTATGGATTGGCAAATATGATATAGCGTGATTACGAACGTGATAGACCTTACAAATCACGATGTCCTCGAAATGTTGAAAACCTTCAAAAAAATTTGGGGAGGAGATATCCTTTCTTTTTCATGAGGGAGGGGGGGGGGGCAAGATTAATCACAGGAAAAGAAAAGCAGATAAATCGATTTTTCAGATGTGTCAAAGTATATTTGATTCTTACAAATATCCGTTCCAAATGCTACCAAGCCATCATTTGAACATATTTTCACTTATTCATATAAGCGCAGTATAATAGTTAACGGTAAATGTGACATTTTTAATTTCCTCTCTCCAGTTTCAAATTCATTCACCTAATAAAACGGATCAAACTTGCATTTCGGAATTTGTTGGCTACAGGTAAAAAAACGCTTTCTATTACAGAACTGGCACGTTCCTGTAACACAACCTCGCCATTCTCGGAGGGAAAATAGCCGCGGAAATAAGTTGGGTTATCGCGGAAATTACTTCAATTATCGCGGAAATAACTTCGATAAGAGTAAATTTCGACAGACATATGCAAGGTTATCTGTATAAACGGTCCTATGTAAAATTTCACTAATTAGGTTGAAAACCTTAAGTAGAAGAGAAAACATGCAGGTTGACGTTTAGAAAAATTAGGAGTTTAGGTGTTACAAGCATACCTTTGCACTTGAAAACACAGTGCAATAAGTTAATGTGTTATAGCAGACAGTATTTCAGATACTACCGGTCAATAGGCCTTGGCAAATGGTGATCGAAAACATTGCTGAAGTTTTTCCTGCAATAACATTAACTGCCGCTTTTACCAGGACGTTCACATTAATCATTTTGGCAGACTAATAATAATTTACACCAAACAACTTTATCCCATCAGACAAATTATTATTGTGAGATGAAAGGACATACAGATAACTACTGCTATAATTTTAGGGCATTAGATGTCCTGTTTAGGTTTTTTTATGGCGCCTTCCTAATAAGTTTATTAAGTAGGGTTGTCGTATCATCAGCACGCAAAATAAAGTTGTTTTTATCTGACACGAGCGCTTGTATATGAGAACCAGTTGTTACACTACTAGGGTTTAAAATTACACACGTCTTCATCGCAGACGTTATTTCATCTGAGGGTTGATTGCAGTTTTGACAAGAATCTTGGTCTTGCGCCGCACCTGCCTTTGGTAATTGGTAAAAGATTTCTCGCTGGCGATCAGAAATTTCAGAAACGTCTACACTTTTGAAAGCGAGAAAGGTGAATATCAAGAGTTACCGGATATCTTTTTGTAAAGATGTGAGAGATAGGCGGGGGAGCTCGCATCAAACTAGATATTTTATATGAAGCTCCAAATTTCACACCCGAAGCTGCATGTCTAGTTATTCCGGTTCGGTTAAATAGGCTATCCTATCTGTTACTAGCAGGCGGTGGAAACATTTCCGTTCTTCATATTTAACACCACGCCGTTGCTACACCAGGTTGTAGAAAAGGTAAGTTATTGACGTTTAGTTAAAGTACTGTTTTTTTTTCACGTTTAATGTTGTCGATTTTTCTTATGAAGCGCTGTCAGTCTCTGTAAACGTTTTCTATGAATATCTCATAGTATAGCCTAAAAACTTTTTCAAAATTCCTATTAGGATTGCACTTTACAGTGGATCTTGTGACCAAATAAGCCTACAAAGTTGTTACACTAGGGTTTAGAAATACACATGTATGAATACAAAGGATAAACTTTTTTTCAACTTTGTGTTTTAGTGCAACTTGCATGAACCAGAGGTTTCGAGTTATCTTTACGTACACCAAGACCCAAAATGAACAACTCGTCGCTTTTTCTGTGTAGGAACGCAACAGTCATATCAGAGAGGAAACTAGCCACCATGTTTTATATTCACGCCGTTCTTGCATTCGGGTTTATCATTTTTGGACTGTGTGGGAATCTACTGGCTTTCATCGTCTTGTGGCGCGAAAAACAGAAAACAACCACGTCGCTGACACTGCGCGCTCTGGCAGTATCAGACTCTATCTATCTGGTGTGTAGTCTGATATTTCTGAGTCTGCCGTCAATGGAAAAATACAATGGTCAAGTTGGGGATAGTTTTTTAACTGACACATACCCACAACTGATGCCCTTTGTCAAACCTATGCTTTACATCTCCCAACAAATTAGCAGCTGGTTGGTCGTGCTAGTGACTCTGGACCGCTTTATAGTGGTTTGCTATCCTCTTAAATCTTTCACCTATTGCACGCTCAACAGGGCAAAGAAGCATATTGCGGCAGTGTACATTGTCTCCGTTTTTTACAATATTCCCCGGTTTTTTGAACTGGACATCAAGCAGTGCTACAACATTAAACTTGACAAATTTGTGCACGAAGTGCACAATTATCCATGGTCATATTCAACAGCGTACTGGATAATTTATCAGATTGTTCTTTACTTTCTCACAATGTACATCGTCCCGATGGTAATTCTGGGCTTTGTGAACACAAAATTGATCATCAGCCTCCGTGCCGCGAATCGCCAGCGCGCCCAAATCACGGGGAAGGAGCACGACGACAATATAAGTATCATGCTTGTGGTTGTTGTGTTCGTCTTCATCGCCTGTCAGACGCCGGATTTTCTTCTGCAGATATTTTACTTCATGACTGTGGTTCTCAGCGATGCGGCATTTGTCTACGAATTTAATTTCTTTGTGTATTATTTGATAACCGCCTTTCTATTAGTTTTTAATTGTTCCATCAACTTCATTATCTACTGTATCTGTGGAAAGAAGTTCAGAAAAATGATGTTTGAGACTATTCAGTGTCAAAGACAGGGGCATGGTAACAAAAGCGAGTCTAGCCACTCTCACATGCGCGACTCTAAATGCTAATCTTTACTGGAAGATAATCCCCAAATGATTGGGGCAGAATACGGTTTGCTGAATTTAAAGAGTTGAGAAACGCCTGTATAAGACCAAATAGGCACAATACCTTGCATTACCTTGTCTCTTGCTTACGATGTAGGGACGAAGCACGTGCTACCCCTTTTTGGTACTGATGGCCAAAAATCAGGGTTCTGGCTCATCGCATAATAAGGATATTGAGGGAGCCTAGATTACATTTGAAATGCGATGCACGTACGGTGCACGTATACTGCCCGTAATACCCTTTTCCATCTGTTTCGTACGGCGTCTGAGCGGAGGTAGACGGTGGCCGTGCGAAATCGCACGGAATCGTACTGATTTAAGGCCATGTAATGTAGACATACTCGGCGTAGCCCGTAGCTCCTTACGATTTCAAAAAAAAAAAAAATCATATGGACAATTTCATCCCACGGCGTAATGTAATCTGGGCTTAAGTCGGTTGGAATCTTCCAATGTTTTCATTATTTAGTGTTATAAATAGAATGGTTTATAGCTATCGTGTAATCTTATGGGTTTAATAATGTAATTGAAACTTATTGGTTGTCAAACTGCACTTTCATTTAATGAACTATTTGCTTAAATAAATGATCATATAATGAAGGCATTCCAGTAACATGTAAAGCACCTGGAAGCGTTCATGCATTGAAAGATTGCTAAAAAAAAAGCTCTAGCCAGCTATACCCAGTCTGATATACGGATATTCACTAACGTCATTAAAAGTATTTACGTAAAGTTTTGGGTTTAAATCAGAAGTGAGTGATTAAATGGTCCAGATGAATGCTAAGACGCTCCTCTCACACAACCAAACCTGCCGTGATAGTCTCGTCTCTGAAGGTTAACAGAGTTACCAAACTTCAGAAATTTGGAAGGATATAAATATTATAAAAGTCAGAGCAATATATGAGATAAAAGAATGAGAGCAGCATACAATGGCACAAAAGAAGATCGAAAATTAGTTTTCAGTGAGATTGTAGGTTTAGTTTCAAAGCGCTTCATTTCGGCATTGGTTTTTTTTAGCTACGATTTTCTATGAGACGTTACTAAAACTATTGACCCAAGCTGTAATGAAGACAATGCAAAGAAATATAATTTACAATTTTAGAGTTACTGTATTTTAATTTTAAAAAATCTAATGTTTTACATATAGTATTGGAATGCAGGTAAAACAGGAGTCCAGATAAGACAGTCATACTGAAAAAAAAAGAGTTCCTCGAAATTCTGGTAATTCCCCTGCTGAGATTTCTAAAGAATCTTTTTCGGTTACATAACCATCTATTTTACCTAGACCATATTCAAACATAACTTAATCAACTGCAAATTCATGGAAGTTATGCTGTCTAGTTCTGTGTGGGCCTATACATATAATCAAGACCCATTACCATACGGATAACGGGGGATGGTCCTTTCATTTGTAACGTGTCATGTATGGAGGCATTTCAAAGTAACATTTGAGCGTGTAAGTCTTCTTTAATTAAAAGAGGATTATTTTTATGTGTCTGCACCTAAATTACGCGCACAAGGGCTTCTCTGAATCATTTTATAAATCGTGCGCTATACCTGAAGATCAGAAAAATATCATACCTTTCAAAGTTAGTCCTATAAGGATGTATGATATATTCAAAACGGATGACAAAAATACATTAAATCACATTTGTTAATCGGCAAATTCTTTATTCTTTTTAAAAATGCTCTGTATATTCTTGATAAAAACAACATAAACTATTATTTATTTCTGATAAAAGAAACGATAATGAATTATCTTTATTGGTATACTTTTACTGAACTCAGATGCACTTCTGTCATTATACATGGTTTCTTACGAATTCTAAGTTACGGTAATAATCTGAATTTAAAGGCAATGCATCTTCTACTCTTGTTTTATTGAAATACATTTCCTCCATGCAGTCGTACGTTAGATATTCAAAAGTAAGATGGAACTTGTTCACAAATAATTCTTTCCTATCAATCAAACTTGGTAGATCTGATATCCCAAACACGCAAACACGTCTCACTTTCTTACCCCAGCATTTCGCTTTACCTTGTACCCATACTACGTAACGAGTCAGGTATGGTTTTTTGTCTGGATCTCCTGTAGAAAGAGAGAAACAATGTATGTGCAAGATAAGCCCGTCATTAATTGTAGAAATGTCATGTGGGGTGTATTGTATTGTACATAGTCTAACTGAAAATGTAGGATCGGAAAAATCCTCATTTCACTGGGATATGATGACAACTTTTGTAACTTTAGTGGTGGGATTTCAAGACAAATTCATCACATCTGAATGGTTTTGATAGACGTATGAATCATGGTCACACGTCTACTGTTACATTTTTCTACTCGTAAATATAAACGGGTTTATGTTTGTATTTATCTTGTCTTTACATACGTACAGAAACGACCATTCCTGGTACTTCCTTCGATTACTGGACTTGAGATATCAATGTCTAAACAGTAAAACATATCCACATGCACTTCAAATCATCTGACAATCTTCATGAACCAATTACAAAAGAACTTTGAAATAAAAAATCTACAACTATACCTATGTGTGCCCCTGGAACTCCCAGCTGTGGGTTGTTATTAAGAGAAACAAAGTATGTTTCATCAGGGTGCAGAGTATCATTCACCCAGCCCAAAAACAGGTGTGCCGTCTCATTGTGTATCACGTAATCCACGAATTCTCTTGTCGCCGTGATTTTCACCTGCCCCTTATGAATACGAATACCCGCTGGCGGAGGAGACTTCGTGATAAATGTTCTCTTGTTTCCTATATAAACATAGCCTGTTCGTTTTTTGATAGTACTTAACTGCCTGAAACAAAAAAGCACGGATAATGTTAATAAACCACTCTTTTTTTTCTTTCTTTTTTTTTTTTAATTTTAGGGAATGTGAAATCGGGAATTATTCGCATCATATCTACGCGAGAACTCATTTTTGTGTAAAATATGGCTTTCCTTGTCATGTGTATGACAGGAAATTTTGGTAACAATCTTACCAAATTGTGCTTTACATGATCAATACAAAAAGTCATGAACTTTTCTTAATATAGGAAAGCATAAACCATCTACTTGGGGTTGAAATAGCACACACGTTATAGGGTTCGTTCTCAATTAAACTATCGTTCTACGTAGATCGATCCAACCCCGTAAAGACAACATGGATGTGAATCATGTTGAAAAAATGCTGCCCACCAGAATAAATGTTCATGGAATTTTCAGAGTAATTGCACTTACCTTTTAATGGAACCCGCGATATCATTGGCTCCATTGAAAATCTGAAGAATTTTCACTAACTCTTTATTAGTCTTCAACGGGAATTCCTGACCCGTTAAATTTATAAAATATTTCCACTTTTGGTATTTCAGAAGTTCTCGCATACAGAGAATCTCGGGTTCTAAAACACTTATTTGTCCCCACACAACATCAATACGTACTGAGGGAATAATAACGTTTTTAAAACATCCTGCAATTGCTGTAATTGCTTCCATAAAATCGCTAGGCGACTTTTTATCCACGTGAACGCAATAGTAATTCTGAGGCCTGTATATTGCACGTAACAATCTCTCCACTTGTTCTACATCCTTATAAACCACCAAACTAAATGCAATAGGGAAGTTAGTTTCTTCTTGGGAAACCGAAGTTATGTAGCCTCGTCTGTGTATGAAGTCAGAGCAGTTTCGTGTCAAGCGCTTATACTGTTCGGGGTTTACGGGAACTTTTGGATGATTCTCCATAAATTTTTTCGCTTGAACTGCAGCACTCCTGTCCCCTTCAAATAGTGCCTTGCACTGCCTGAACGCAGCTCGTGGTTGTTCACCAACTGGTTGAAGCTCTGATTCATATCCCCTTTGTCGTCTGCCTTGTAAATGAGTGAGACTTTGGGAACGTTCGGCAAAATTTGTAGAAAATTCAGTCGGTTTTTTAGAGAGAACTCGAACTTCTATTGTATATATCACTACCACTACTCCAATAAGAACGAAGACCACACGTTGTTTCTTTGCACGGAGCATTCTTGTTCTAGCATGTCTTTTAGCACGGCCCCTGAAAAGACGAATGTTGCATGAGGTATCTTACTGCTTCGCCCATAAAAATCAAATAAAGCTGTCCCATGCTTTTAGCTTAATGACACAGCGAAGGACGGTACGAGACGCCATTTGCAATCAGTTCACATTGAGCTTCACACTCATGGTTGGTACGCGGTCCTTATCATTGGCCACATACCTCTTTCTCCTTTTATCGGATGATTGGGTCATACATTTTTATCTACGATATTAGTATATTTTGACAAATAAGATAAGCGAAGTAAAAGACACAAAGTTTTTAAAATTTTTCCTGGAAATTAGACTTTTAGACTATAATCCAGGTTTATAGATCGTTTTTTTTTTTCCAATGGCTTTGGATAAGGCATAAAGTATTGAGGAGAAAAAATCTGGTAAATTTTTTCGTTACATAAAAATCTAACGCTAATCAGAGCCTCAGAACCATACCCACAACTATTTCCAATCGCGTATGATGGGATACCTCAATTACCAAAAAAAAAATGCACATCTGTACAAAGTAGACTCAAATTTGAAACACATTTTTCGTCTATTTCAGTTCCAAACTGTAGAAAAAAATATTTCATTGCTTTTTTCTCCCTTTCTAATTGGAACTCTGCTACCCTTTTGCTTGACCTAAAAAATGAAAGCTTCAAAGGCCACAGAATTAACATGCCAACAAAAAGTCTTAAGGGATCAAATTTCATGACTTTTTTGAGATTATGTGCCAGATCTTCCCAAAAATCCCTTTTCTTTAACGCAGATTCCGAATATCCATTACAGAGATTCAGGACAATTTCATTGCCTTAATTTTGCTACACTGGCGTTACTGAGAGCCTATTATAAAAATTAATTAATGGAAATTAAACACCCTGACACCCTTTACCAAATAGCTGCTTGCTTGAATTAATATACTTATCCATTTTCTATGTCCATTTCCAATACTTGGTTAACACTATAACTCACACTGAGAATAAAATCGGAGTCCAAGTGACTCCAAACTAACTTGGAGTCCAGCAGTGGTGCCTAAAATAACTCCCAATTGGAGTCAAGTTGACTCCGATGGAGTAACGCCATCCCAGACCCCACAGTCGCAATTGACTCCATTCACACATCCCTTCATCCCTTGATTTATCTCTACAAAAAGTCACCATGACCCCATATTTAGGAATTTTTGACTCCTTGGCTCATTATGAAAAAATACAGTGCTACAGTGCCACGCAAGGAGACAGCAGACAGTTCATTAAGGCGCGGTATGTTCCCGAAACCCACGTCCTCCCGCTCTGGAGGCGGACACTCTAAGCACAAGCCCATCCGGTCGCATGTGGTGTTGTAATAGCAATAACAAACAGTTTGTCAATCTGGTAATAAACAGCATGCCGCATTGTGTATATATATATATCAGTAAGCATACCTCCCCAGTGACATGCATTGGGGGTCAAACCTACAACCTGGAAACAAAACCTGCTGACCTGTATACCAACATGTCACATAAAGGGTGTGGGCAACTGAAAGCCCGGGCCAGTAATAAGTGCACGAGTTCTGCATGCAGACACACACAGGAAACCACTTGTTCGTGCATAAAACCAACTATGGCTAATAAAGTAATATTATATACTGACAATATACAAAGGATGATGAAAACTGTTCTCTCTACGCCGTCTGCTCACTGCCATCACAAGTACTGAAACGAGGCTTACTGTCCAGCGAGCGAAAACAGTCGGTGAAAGGTCAGCCAGACACTGGCCCCCGGTAATTTGACTCTGATTTTAGAGTGAGGTTGACTCTATGAGAGCCAGGGGGTGATTGACTCTGATAAGAGAGTCTAAAGACTCTGGTAGTGGGACCCTTATATACATGTAGGAGTCAAATTAACTCCATGAGGGTCAAGGGGTGCTGGACTCTGAATAGAGAGTCAAATGACTCCAATTTTATTCTCAGTACAACTTATTAGTTTCATATGGAAATGCTACTTGTTTTTGTATCTGTACAGAGAAAGTTTTCTAACTACGAATTATATTTTGTTTCACATTTTTAAAAAAGGAGAGAATTCTATATAACAAATCAAAGAGTTCTATGATTCAAACCAAAAACTGTAAAACTAAAATAGTTTTATTGTGGCTTTGATTAATCTGTTCGTTATTTACAACTGTTTCTAACTTTGATTTCAATCTGGCCTTGGCTGATTTTAAATCCAATTTTGTAATTTTCCGACAAAAAAGAGCCAGATGTGTCCGACAGGCCAGATATGTCCGACAAAAAAGAGTCAGTTGTGTCCGATATATCTGTTCTGTCGGACACATCTGGCTCTTTTTTGTAGGACATATCTGGCCTTCTCTGGTCGTAGGACATATCTGGCCTGTCGGAAATATCGGGTCGTCACAGCCCACGCCTAGGGTATCCACAACTTACCACCAGGAAACAGAAGCCATTCTTATAGTTTTGCTGCTAAATTAAACAAAGGCAACCCGTTTCTTTCAGAATGAGGGGACGAGTGCTAACGGAAAGCGTTTTTCAAGGCCCTTTGCGAACGCCAGACTGGTTTTAACAGGTTACTATGCTGAGAAAAACAGCAGCTGAAGATATCGTCAAGTTTTTTATCCTATACAAGGTGTATAAAAAAAAAGTGAACACTCAGAAAAAAAACCCAAAATTTTAAATTTTTATTTCATATAACAAATGTTAATGTAAAAATAGGTTCGTAGGGAAATTATGCTTCAATGAACACCATTAATTGTCGTGTCTTTTCACGCATGACGGAGCAGGGCCAAATTACGTCATGAGGATCAAATTTGTATCTCGAGAAGTAACCTACAAAATTACCGCATATTACAAATTGGATGTTCATGACAAAAGAACATAAGTGGCAGATAACAGGGAAGAAAAGGTTAATTGGCAGGTTTTTAATTTGAAAACCACTGATAGAACCATTTCATGGCAATTAATCAACCTTTTGCGAAAAAAGTTCTCGAAATAAAAATTTGATCCTCATGACGTAATTTGACACTGCTAGGTCATGCGTGAAAAGACACGACAATCCATGGTGTGCATTGAAGCATAATTTACCTACGAACCTATATTTACATTAACACTTGTTATATGAAATAAAATTTCAAAATTCTGGGTATTTTTTCTAAGTGTTCACTTTTTTATACACCCTGTAGACCGAATCAACGGCCTACTGGTATGACAAGGAATCATCCACGTATCTGTATCTGTTTAAGTAGGGTAATTCTATTACATAACTGATGTCGCAGTGGCACTGAAGAGATTATTTAAAGTCTTAAAAACTAATTTGAAAGAAGAAAAATTATTTGGAAAAAATATTCCACATTATATGTCAATTCTGTACATACATTGACTGACAGATCACCATGATAACCGTTGCCTCGTAAAAATGGTGCTGCTAAACTGGTCGCGTGTTAAATATCGAAAACTATGCTAAATGTTATAATTAAAATAAATATTATTATTATTATATGCTAAATATTTTCGAAAACTATACTAAAAATCACGTGCTAAATATCTAATCGCAAGGGCGTTGCATGGATTTTTTTTCTGATATGTACAGCGCTAAATGATTTTAATGAAGGAAAATAAATTGGTACGTTACAATTAAAACTAAGCGGCAAAATGCATTTACGTCCGTCATGTTCAACCTTATATACTAAAAATTAAAACCCGCCACGCGGAGTCTGGGTCAGTAAACTTGAAATAACTCTTTTGATCATTCAAAAGAATCGTGCCACAATTGCCCTTCTTAAGGATGGTTCTCTCTACCAGGGTAACAGATTGATTTTTCACTAGATATCCACAGGTATGTCTCTGGCTAATCATGACACAATACTCGCACAATTGTAAATGTGCATTGTAAATGTGCGGTCCAGGTAGGGGGTACACCTCCGCAGAATTGCTGAATAAATACAGTAAATACAATAGATAACCGTGCACAGAACCGCAGAGGTAAAGTGTTGATTTACCCGAACGGTCTCCTCATTTGGTCCATCCTGAATGACCGGTGACTGGCCACTTTCAAGATTTGTTATATCACTGTGCATAGTGTTATCCAGTTTATCTTTTCTCTAAAATTCAATTCCAAATCGCGGAAGAGGGGCCAAAATTAGAAACATATTAGAAATGTTTGTGGAAAGAAGTATAGAAAAATGATGTTTAAGACTATTCAATGTCAAAGACAGGGGCATGGTGACAAAAGCGAATCTGGTCACTCACACATGCGCGACTCTAAGACCCCATTCCCACAGATTTTAGATCGATCTATCCCTGTGGGGAGTCTCACTAGATTACTGTCAGCTTAGCCGGCTTAAGCGTCTGCCCCGCCTACTAAAAGCTGTAAGGGGGTAATTAACTGTCGTGCGCGCTCTGCTGACTGCAATTTAGCGTGAACCCCCAGGGAGTTAGGTTGATCCGGATGGATCGTTCTAAATCACTGGGAATGTGCTCTAAATGCTAATCGTCACTGGAAGACAATTCCTAAAGGACAGTTTGCTGCACTTGAAGAGTTGAGAAACGCCTGTATAAAACCAAATGGGAATAATTTATTGCATTACATTGAAGAGACGAAGCGCATACCTTCCTTTTTGGTGCTGATGGCCGAAATCAGGGTTCTGGCTCATCGCATAATAAGGATATTGAGGGAGCATAAGTCGTTTGGAAACTTCCGATGCTTTCATTTAATCACTTTCATTATATTATTTAGTGCTATAAATGGAATGATCTATAGATATCGTGTAGTCTTACGGGTTTTACAATGTAATTAAAACTAATTGGTTGTCAAACTGCACTTTCATATGAACTCTTTGCTTAAATAACGATCACGTAATGAAGGCATTCCAGTAACGTGTAAAGCACCTGTAGGCGTTCATGCATTGAAAGATTGCTAAAAAAAGCTCTAGCCAGCTTTACCCAGTCTGACTTACGGATGTTCACTAACGTCATTAAAAGTATTTGCGTAAACTTAAGGCTTTAAATCAGAAGTGAGTGATCAAATAGTCCAGATGAATGCTGAAACGCTCCTCTAACACAACCAAACCTGCTGTGATAGTCTTAACAGTTTAACAGAGTTACCAAACTTCAGAAGTTTGGGGAGGATATAAATATGATAAAAGTCAGAGCAATATATGAGATAAAAGCATGAGAGCAGCATACAAAATCACAAAGGAAACTCGAATAATTAGTTTTTAGTGAAATTACAGGTTTAGTTTCAAAGCGCTTCATCTCGGCATTGATATTTTTTTTTAACTACGATTCTTCTATGAGACGTTACTAAAACAATTGACCCAAGCTTATATGTAATGCAGGCAATACAAAGAAATATAACGTACAATTTAACAGTTACTGTAGTTTAATTTTAAAAATCTAACGTTTTACATACAGTATTGGAATGCAGGTAAAACAGGAGTTTAGAAAAGACAGCCATACTGAAAAAATGGTTTCTCGAAATTCTGGTAATTTTCCCCTGCTGAGGTTTCTAAAGAATCTTTTTCGGTTATGTTATCTTACCTAGACCATATTCATATTTAACTTAAACCACTGCAAATTCATGGAAGTCATGCTGTCTAGTTCTGTGTATACATATAATCAAGACCCATTACCATACGGATAACGGGGGATGGTCCTTTTAACTTGTAACGTGTCATTTATGGAAGCATTTTAAAGTAACATTTAAGCGTGTAAGTCTTCTTTAATTGAAAGGGAATTATTTATGTGTCTGCACCTAAAGTACGGGTACGAAAGCTTCTCTGAATCATTTTGTCAAAATCGTGCGCTATACCTGAAGATCAGAAAATATCATACCTTTCGAAGTTAGTCCTACAAGGATGTATGATACTTTCGAAACGGATGACAAAAATACATTAAATCACATTTGTTAATCGGTAAATTCTTTATTCTTTTAAAAAATGCTCTGTTTATTCTTGATAAAAACAACATAAACTATTATTTATTCCTGATAAAAGAAACGATAATGAATTATCTTTATTGGTATACTTTTACTGAACTCAGATGCACTTATGTCATTATACATGATTTCTTACGAATTCTAAGTTACGGTAATAATCAGAATTAAAAGGCAATGCGTTTTCTACTCTTGTTTTATTGAAATACATTTCCTCCATGCAGTCGTACGTTAAATATTCAAAAGTAAGATGGAACTTGTTCACAAATAATTCTTTCCTATCAATCAAACTTGGTAGATCTGATACCCCGAACACGCAAACATGTCTCACTTCCTTACCCCAGCATTTTGCTTTACCGTATACCCATACTACGTAACGAGTCAGGTATGGTTTTTTGTCTGGATCTCCTGTAGAAAGAGAAACAATATATGTGCAAGATAAGCCCGTCATTTGTAGAAGTGTCATGTGGGGTGTATTGTATTGTGCATAGTCTAACTGAAAACGTAGGATCAGAAAAAAATCCTCATTTCACTAGGATATGATGACAACTTTTCTAACGTAAGTAGTGGGATTTTGTGACAACTTCATCACATCTGAATGGTTTTGATGTACGTATGAATCATTGTCATACGTCTACCAGTACCCTTTTCTATGTGATTTTATCTTTTTTTAACAAACGCACAGAAACGACCATGTTTTTCTGTTGCCTCCGTCCATTACTGGAGTTTAGATCTCAATGCCTATAAAGTACCAAAACATCCACGCGCACTTCAAATCATCGGACAATCTTCATTAACTAATTGCAAAAGAATATTAAAAAAAAAAATTCCACAACTATACCTATGTGTGCCCCTGGAACTCCCAGCTGTGGGTTGTTATTAAGAGAAACAAAGTATGTTTCATCAGGGACCAGAGTACCATTCACCCAGTCCAAAAACAGGTGTGCCGTCTCATTGTGTATCACGTAATCCACGAATTCTCTTGTCGCCGTGATTTTCATCTGCCCCTTATGAATGTGAATACCCGCTGGCGGAGGAGACTTCGTGATAAATGTATTTTTGTTACCTATATAAACATAGCCTGTTCGTTTTTTGATAGTACTTAACTGCCTGAAACAAAAAAGCACGGATAATGTTAATAAAACGTGCGTTTGTTCTTTTAAATTTTAGGGAATGGGAAATCTAGAATTATACGCATCATATTAACGCGAGACCTCATTTTTGTGTAAAATATGGATTTCCTTACGTTGTAATGTGTATGAGCGGAAATTTTAGTAACAATCTTACCAAATTGTGCTTTATATGATTAATATAAAAAGTCATGAACTTCTTTTGATATAGGAAAACATAAAACATATACTTGGGGTTGAAATAGGACATACGTTTTAGGGTTCATTCCCAATTAAACTATCGTTCTACGTAGATCGATCCAACCCCGTAAGGACAACATGTATGTGAATCATGTTGTAAAAATGCTGCCCACCAGAATAAAGTTCATCAAATTTCCCAAGCTTTTTCACTTACTTTTTAAGGGAACCAGCGATATCATTGGCTCCATTGAAAATCTGAAGAATTTTCACTAACTCTTTATTAGTCTTCAACGGGAATTCCTGACCCGTTAAATTTATAAAATATTTCCACTTCTGGTATTTTAAAAGTTCTCGCATACAGAGAAACTCGGGTTCTAAAACACTGATTCGTCCCCACACAACATGAATACGCACTGAGGGAATAATAACGTTTTTAAAACACCCTGCAATTGCTGTAATTGCCTTCATAAAATCTCTAGGCGACTTTTTATCCACGTGAACACAATAGTAATTCTGAGGCCTGTATATTGCACGTAACAATCTCTCCACTTGTTCAACATCCTTATAAACCACCAAACTAAATGCAATAGGGAAGTTGGTTTCTACTTGGGAAACCGAAGTTATGTAGCCTCGTCTGTGTATGAAGTCAGAGCAGTTTCGTGTCAAGCTCTTATACTGTTCGGGGTTTACGGGAACTTTTGGATGATTCTCCATAAATTTTTTAGCTTGAACTGCAGCACTCCTGTCCCCTTCAAATAGTGCCTTGCACTGCCTGAACGCAGCTTGTGGTTGTTCACCAACTGGTTGAAGCTCTGATTCATATCCCCTTTGTCGTCTGCCTTGGAAATGAGTGAGACTTTCGGAACGTTCGGCAAAATTTGTAGAAAATTCAGTCGGTTTTTTAAAGAGAACTCCCATTGTACATATCACTATCACTACTCCAATAAGAACGAAGACCACATGTAGTTTCTTTGCACGGAGCATTTTTGTTTCAGCATGTCCTTTTGCACGGCCCCTGAAAAGACGAATGTTGCATTAGGTTATATATACTGCAGCTGGAAGCCCTGTTTATTATATGAGTAATTTACTGCTTCGCCCATGAAAATCAAATAAAGCTGTCCCATGCTTTTAGCATAACGACACAGTTGAAGGACGGAGCGAGACGCCATTTGCAATCAATTCACATTGAGCTTTACACTTATGGTTGGTGCGCGGTCCTTATCTTTGGTCACATACCTCTTTCTCCTTTTATCGGATGATTGGATCAAACATTTTTATCTACGATATTAGTATATTTTGACAAATAAGACAGGCGAAGTAAAAGGCACGCGAGAATTTTTTTTTCCTGGAAATTAGACTTTTAGACTAAAATCCAGGTTTATAGATCGTTATTTTCCCAATGGCTTTGGATAAGGCATAAAGTAGTGAGAAGAAAAAATCTGATAAATATCCCGGGAAGTAAATTTTTCGTTACATAAAAGTTTAACGTTAATCAGAACCTCAGAGCCATATCCTCAACGATTTCCAGTCGCGTATGATGGAATACCACAATTATCAAAGAACATGCAGATCTGTACAAAATAGACCCAAATTTGAAACACACTATTCGCCTATTTCATATCCAAACTGTAGAAATAACATGTCATTGCTTTTTTCTCCCTTTTCTAATTAGATCTCTGCTACCCTTTCGCTTGACTTAAAAAATGAAAGCTTCAAAAGGCCACAAAATTTACATGCCAATCAAAGTCTTAAGGGATCAAATTTCATGACTTTTTTTTTTGAGATATTCTGCCAGATCTTCCCAAAATTCCTTTTCTTTATCGCAGATTCCGAAAGTCCATTACAGCGATTCAGGACAATTTCATTGCCTACATCTTGCTACAATAAATTTTTGTGGTAAGGAATGTTTCTTAAGACAGTTTAGCTAAGGTTATAAATCTTTCCCCTCAATTTTGTTTGCCTTATTGAACAATAATAATAATAATAATAATAATAATAATAATAATAATAATAATAATATTTATTTCATATATTTAGGCCACCGGCCTATATTAGGCCTACATTACAGTAATAGGAGTCAAATATATGCCTTCTATGTATCCCTAGGCTTGAAGCACTCATACACATACATTGCCAAGTTTGTGAATACATAGTGTTGAATCTTCAGATTTCATGAGCTTATTAGAGTTGAATACGTTTGCCTGAATGCCGGGGATATATTTGGCTCTATAGCCATTATACCGTGGACACACAAGCACGAAATGGTACTCGTCCTCTTTGTTTATGCTTCTTTATAAGCATTGCAGCAATAATCACTCGAATTTCAAATCATGACGTTCTGGGCCGTGATAAGGCATTTCTTATCTTCCACGATGTAATCACAGTTTATATAGCGCTTATGCAGTTTTATACTCACTGACAGGGGCAGATCCAGAGCTATTTACTGACAACCTTCCAAATTATCTTTGTTGATTCATCCTCTATTTTTGATCGTCTTCCAACAGAAAATATTAGTTACCCGTCAGTGTAAACTTGAAAATCTGACCGTCTTCTGGAAGACCCAGAAGACGGCCTAAATCCGCCCCTGACTGTAGCTATTCAGCTGACTGTTGCCCTTCACATCAGCGGACCACTGTTGATATGCAGTGTTCTTCAACCGTTAAGTGAACTCGCTTAAAAAGTATTCAACATTTCCTTTCTCTTGTGATAACCATAACACGCCAAAGCCGTAGCTGAATAATACGCGTTTTCCTTACTGGCCCATGTCATTCTACCATACAGTTCTCGATTTTATAGCATTTGGTAACATTGCCTCGGGTACTTGTCTCATCCCATACATAATAATTTAAACCAGTATTTAATCAGGCCTACCCAACTACCAGACTCGGCACCTAAGGATCCTGAATTCACCGGTAGATCAGANCTTAGGTGCCGAGTCTGGTAGTTGGGTAGGCCTGTTAATGCTACGCGTGAGATAGTGGACCGTTAGAGGCAGTCTTCCACACTCTCCTAGGCCTGCGGGGTTAGATGCGGTACTTGGTAAACCTAGGAAATATTTAAAAAATTTGATTTGCACTTTCTCATTCACCCCAACATAATTGGTTCCCCACATCTCATGCTATCAAAGATATGAAAGGCTACATTATATGCTAGTCTCCCGCATTTTTTCTCAAAGCATTTAAACATTGTGAACGCTCGTACAGCCTTAGCCGCATTATTTCGTAGAGCTGATGATCAATTAACGTGTTGATACCAGCACCCCAAGATACTTATAACTGTTGTGAATGTATGTAACTTATTTGAACCTTCTATAGAAGACACGCTTTGTGTTGCGTTTTTATACTTTATCAGTGTCCTTATAGCAACATTTCATTTCTTCATTTATGAATTAACTTATGTACGCAGTGGGGTAACCTACTAGTGACACACGTCAGTTTGTCTGGAAATTGAGGAGCCTGAGATACAAGGCAGATAGATGCAAGAAATGGAATTACGTGTACATCTTTGGTACCGGTAAGTCCTTAATTACTTGGTGCAAGCCAGGGGTCTCATTCTGGTAAAACGTTTACATCAGTTAGTGTGCGATTATTCAAAAAGTTTGTGGGATCAAATTGTAACACAGGTCCAATTAAAAAAAAAGCTTATGCCACAGCCAGCAACTCCGTCTGATCAAATTTCTATTTCTGAGGGCCCTGGAAACTGAGCGCCTCTCTACTTTCCCCACGACTATGACATGAGGCATGTTGATGGTAGAGAAGTGTTGTGTGTTTCTAGAGACCTTTGCAACTAATATGATTATGCCTGCACACAAATGACGTTAGACCAGTCCCTGTAGGCCTCGCACTCGCCCTTGTTCTCATATGCAAACAGGCCGGCTATTCTTGGGTCGAATAAGGTCGTTTCCTTAACTGGCACTACGACTAAATTGTGTTACAGTCAGTTATAGCGAGTCCCAGGCCTGCTGCATGATTCATGGAGATTTAGGGCACGATAAGAGAAAATCAAGGCTGTGAACGGTTCGACACAATTTAAAAATGAAATTGAAATAATACATTTACCTTAGCATTTCTCACCAATGTTCCAACTGAGCCCGTTCTGGAAACACTGTGATCGATCTCTGTTGAATAACCGCGGAATAAGACTTTGCTTTTCGTCTTCCCACCACCCTATTAATTCTTACCTCATACCACAAAACTACATAATGCAATACCCTAAATGTAATAGAAAAACATAAAACTCGGGCCTACCTGTGCCTCAGCAGTTATAAGAACAACCTGAAACATTCAACCGAACATAGATGTCTTAGTACACACCGTTAGTACGCCGTTCCACTGGTTACGAGCTATTATAATAAATCATCCCCTTTCTGTGGCAGCACTACATCCTCACAGTAATTTATTTGACCTAGATATTTTTTACATGGCTGCATTGGATGTTTGTCTGGATTGACCTTAAGAAAATTATTTTAGATTAACTCTGCATCTTTTTTAACTACCCTCTCACTCTATCATATTACTGAAGGTAAAAAATATGTTCCAAAGAATGAATACGTTAATTTTTTTCTGAGGGTAACTGAATGATAAAAGGCGATTCATCAACATGGTCCTGATCTAGTTGTGTTGGGGGTGGTCGGCTCATGCCCTACTTAGATTCCACTTTACCAAAATAACACGATTCAGAGCTGGGCCTCCGAGGACGCGTATTTTGACAGCGCCCCTTGCATAGTTGAGAGCGACTTTTTTGAGTGTGTTAGGCCTCTCGCCTTTATTATGAGGTAACATCGTCTCTGATAGGAAGGTAGGTGTCTCACCTACATAATATGAGATTTATAGATACCGATCTACATAGGGTGCCTTGAAAAGGGCATTTCGTGATTGGCACGATAGAGGCGTCTCGCCTGTCGAGGGAAGGGGGAGGGTGGACTGGTTGCAGAAAGCGCTTTTCAAGTAACCTTCATCAGCTGCAGAGTCCGAGATGAAAAAAAAAAGAAAAATTCAGGGGGTTGGTAAGCAAAGGTGTCTCGCCTTTGTTTAGTGAGTTTAACTCCCTGGGGGTTCACGCTAAATTGCAGTCAGCCGAGCGGGCACCATAGTTAATTACCCCATTACAGCTTTTAGTAGGCGGGACAGACGCTTAAGCCGGTCAAGCTGACAGTAATCAAGTGAGACTCCCCACAGGGATAGATCGATCTAAAAATCTATCACCCCATTCTCATACACCCCATTTCCATAGATTAGATCGACCTACTTTGGATCGACCTAACTCCCTGGGGGTTCACGCTAAATAGCTGTCAGCCGGGCGGGCACGAAAGTTAATTGCCCCTTACGGCTTGTAGTGGGCGGGGACGGACACTTAAGGGGGATTATCTGACGGTAGTCTGGTGAGACTCCCCACGGTGATAGATCGATCTAAAGTTGTGGGAATAGACCCATAGATTAGATCGACCTACATTGGATCGACCTAACTCCCTGGGGGTTCACGCTAAATAGCTGTCAGCCGGACGGACACGAAAGTTAATTATCCATTACAGCTTGTAGTAGACGGGGACGGACACTTAAGGCGGATTATCTGACAGTAATCTAGTGAGACTCCCCGCGGTGATAGATCGATCTAAAAGTTGTGAGAACAGAGCCTATGGAAATAGGGTGTAGGACATGAGCCCACCACCCCCAACACATAGATCCCATTTCCAGAGATTAGATCGATCTACTTTAGATCGACCTAACTCCCTGGGGGTTCACGCTAAATAGCTGTCAGCCGAGCGGACACGAAAGTTAATTACCCCCTTACAGCTTGTAGTAGGCGGGACGGACATTTAAGCCGGATTGTCTAACAGTAATCTAGTGAGACTCCCCGCGGGGATAGATCGATCTAAAAGCTCTGGGAATACAGCCATAGTCTTGTCAAATGCGGAATTACAATATCTTTAGTTAATACAGAAAATACTTCTCTCGTGTCTTTTATAGTGATTCATATAATGGGAAATTTCAATGCATTTCACACATTTTTCTCAGAAATATGCGTGACATGACATACTTTTTAGTGTTACTTGCCCAGTGCAAGTGATTTCTGCGGTCTGGTGACCAGACTTTAAAACATACTTGCACGCAAACGTAACTGACTTGCTAATGAATCACCTGCCTGACGTAAATTGTAGTTCAGACCCCCCCCCACACACACACACACAGCAAAAAAAAAAAAAAAAAAAAAAAAACTCACAGTGTTTAAAAAATTAATTTGGAGTGGGGCATGTGGATTTTTTTTTTAGGTCTACGTGCCCGACAGTAAAAATAGTTACTGTAAATGAACCTTTTCAAGGTCACCATCAACTGTGGATAATTAGCTGCACTAATGGCAGCGGGGTAGTGTCATGCAGTAGCGCCTATCAGAGACGAACATTTACCTCGACGAAGACAACGATAGTTATGGCTATTGTTTGGCGGGTGATGTGGAAAACGGCAAATATCAGCTGCTTGTGCCAGGAAGGTATCGCGATGACAGAAACATCATTGGAGGTTCTACTGTCACTTGTCATTTCCTCCAGGCTACTTGCATGGCAAGGTGAACAGCTCAAATCATGACGGCATTTCATCGAGACCCGAAACGCGGCGCGTCAGACATAATGCTATCTGGGTTATTTTTACACCCACATAGCACTACCGATACACGTGCCAACCCTCATCCTGAGCCATAGATTGATTTTTTTTTTACTTAATATTCACAGATATGTCTCTAGGTAATTATGTGCAGTTTTCTGTACAGTGGTGTAGTGAAAAGTGCAGTAGAAAACTGTGTCATGAATTACCCAGGGGCATGTTTGTGAATATCTAGGATTGGTATAGAATCAGTCGCCAGCTGAGACATGAACCGTTTTGATCCCAGCTGAATGCGGTGGCAGGGATTAACCATGTGCATGTGCTTGCATTTCTGCCAGCTTTTGCTATAAAAAGTGAACATAAAATCCTGCATGAGACTTTGATGATAATGATGATAGACAGAGTGATCGAATGCTATTTGCAATGTGTACAAAAGACTTGACTTTTATTTACTGCGTAACACCATTCTGGTCTTATGACATAAGCACTTATAGGTCACTGCTTTTTTAATCTGATGATATTTCAACAAAATTTGAATGTTTTGTCTTAATTAACTGCGTTTTTGAAAAAAAGCTAAATGCGTTTGATCTCGATGGAAAACGTTGCTCCACAAGTGGTGTATTTCTTAGTATTCCTAAGTACATCTATAACGCGTACATAACTGAATTGTCTTAGTTAACGAAACGGCATGTTAATTTTGTCATATATGTTGTTTTACAAATGGTAAACTACTGTAATAATCCACATCAATTGGAAAATGGTCTTCGTTAGCTGTCCTGTTAAAGTAAAGCTCTTCCATACAGTCATACGCTAACGGTTCAAACGTCAAATGGAATTTGTTGGCAAATAGTTCTTTACGAGAAAGTAGTTTAGGAAGGTCTGTCACGCCAAATACGCATATGGCACGTACCACCTTGCCGCCGCAGTATTTGGCGTCTTCTCCGTACAGCCATAGCTTGTACCGGGTCAAAAACGGCTTTTTCTCAATGTCACCTAAAACATAAATGAAATTCATAAGACTGATATTATGACTGATCTTTAAAGAAAGTTTCTATGTTTCGAAGCAATACTTGATTGAATAGTTATTCTTAATGATCAAAACATTTAGAACCTTATTTAAGTATGTGGAAGAAATAACGCGTTTTTCTTTACACGGAACCACTTTTTATGCACTGGGAGCTTTCGTTATTTTATTTTTTTACGAGTGGATGTTACCATCTTAGATCAACCGAGATAATCTTTTAGGCTTATCTTAAATTAAAATCTTAGGAAGTGCTTCAAAGTAAAGACGGGACAAATTCAATATTGTCTCATAACCAGCCACGTGGTAAACATGAAGCAATGGACTGAATTGTTCAATGTGTTTTTAGCTGAATGCAAAAACTCTTAAACACATTGATAAAAACGGATTTAAACCAGGGCAAACTGTTTTATCGTTTTATCTCCCTCAGATATTTTCCAGCCTCTCATAAAACAAATATAAAAACAAATATAAAACAAATACCAAATGAGGTTACCTGTGAAAGCCCCTGGTACTTTTAAGTGTGGGTTGATGTTGAGAGTGGCAAAGAAAGTCTCATCTGGAGTCCCAGTGTCTTTAACCCACTCTAAGAAATATTTTCCTATTTCACTATTGATGACGTAATCGACATAGCCTCTGGTTGCCGCTATGTGGACAGATCCTTTGGCAAGTTTTATTTTCCAGCGTGGTGGCGACTTCTTTACGTTTGTCCTATAGAAACCACTCCAAACGTATTCTGTTCGATCGAGGTTCCTACTGCAAGAGATACAGGAAAACAGGATTATATATTATATATTATATATTATATATAATATTGATTTGATTGATTATCGATGGAGCGTAAACGGCGACTCAGCTTGACTTTAAAAAAGCTGACCGGGGTAATTGACTTCCTTGAAAGACATTTTTTCTTTATTTGACATATATTCACAACATTGTTATGTAATACTCTACTGCAATGCGGCGTAAATTTTTTTTAAAGACATCAAAGTCCCAAGTTTTATCATGTTTACACAGACTGTCGACAACTCAACATCAATTTCTATGAAAACATTTAATCAAACCAGCAAAGAAATAGGTTTGTGGTGGTAGTCGTATACTCGTGCCACCGTCGTGCTCTAAACAGCCCTTAATCCCCTATTCATCCTTATCAACTTTGCTAAACACGTTCATTTGCTATCAATTATACATATGTTTGTGACTAAAATCCAGATCCAATTTTTTACCGTCCAGTGTCGGTATAACGTAATTTTGGTGAGTTAGCACGTAGCAAAATTAAACAAGGAAGTGGAACAGACAAGAAGTTACACGGCGAAGTATAAATATCATGTTTCAGCATGATTTATCTTTCTTTGTGTAACTACTTGTCTTTTCGCTTGCCTTTGGTTTTAATAAAAAAGTGTTTTATCGTGAAACTAATTCATAAACACGCCTGAAGTGTTTTAAATGCGCCTCTGTTGGCTCTCTGGTGGGAACCTGTTCGCCTACTGGTACCCTGGGTTTCAAATGTCCATGAAAACTCTATATTATTAGCATGCTGACAGTAGTAAGAGAGGCGAGTTTAAAATAACATCTATTACTCGGATGGTGGTGGTGGTGGTGGGTGGTGGTGGGGGTAATATATTGGCGGACACAATCCGATCCAGAGCAGTACGCGCTTGCCATTGTACCTAAGCTTGGCTTGGGGGATGGGCATGAAATCTCATAATTTCTTTTAAACAAGGAAATGGTTTAGATTAGAGTACTATATATATATATATATATATATATATATATATATATATATATATATATATATATATATATATAAGAAAAACAGCTTTGCCATTAGTGATACTCAGAAAGGAAAAAAAAAACATAACTCAGGGAGAACTTTCAGTAGACCCTCCTGGGTCTATTACTGTTTGTCTACGACTATATCAAAAGTTTTTTGTTTGTTTAGTTTATTAAAAAGCCATATTATCATTGATCAGTGACTGCATGACCTAGATTATCTGACCAGACCAATGTAATTTATATCCATCTCAACTATATGCTGTAGTGTACTAACCTTTTGATGTTTCCATCAATATCATTAGAATTATTATATGTTTGCAGTATTTTCACCAGTTCTTTGTTGGTTTTTAGTGGAAACTCCTGTCCGACTAAGTTTAAAAAATATTTCCAGTTTTTCTTCTTTAATAATTCTCTCATGCAGAGTATTTCTGGTTCCAAGACGCTAAATTCAGCCCATCTAACATCTACGCGTCTCGGGGCCATAAAGACGTTTTCTAAACATTCGCTCAGCAGCACTACCGCTTCATAGAAATCCTTCGGTGATTTGCTATCAACATGGATACAGTAAAAATTATGAGGGCGGTATACAGCTCGCAGCAACCTCTCCACCTGCTCAATGTCTTTGTACACCAAAATACTAAAAGCCAGCGGAAATTTCTTCTCTTCGGGAGATGCAGACAGGATATATTTCCTCTTATTTTTGAAGGCTGTGCAGTCTGATAGTGCGGTCTTGTAGAAATCAGGCGTGAGCGCTTTTTTGGGGGTTTCCATCGCCTTCTTGGCCTGCATAACCGCGTGCCTGTCTCCTTCAAATAACGCTTTGCAATTCCGTTGAAGCTGGTCTAATTTGTTCTGTTCCAGAACACCTAGTCTGTTGGCTTTCATTGCATATGGAGCCTGTTTGAAAGGTGAATAATTTTCCTTCCCACTGTAAAGCAGCAATATGAACAGAAACAGCAAGCAGAAACCACAGCTTATTGCAAACCCGGTTACTTTACACACAGGAGTTCTCTGCTCCATAGGGAAAGATGATTGACCTCAGCTGCCTGCCGGGACGAACACAAGTTCTGGAACCCTGATGTAAGGCAATCCCAGGCTGTCTGGTAATACTCGGGCCTCATGAAACATTTATTCCAAGACATCGATCTAGGGCGCATGGATATGTGGTAAATGGGTCTTTATCTAAACTTAACCGATGGAAGAAAGAGCGAGGGGGCACTACCCGTAACGCATTGCAATCGATAATGCCTGTAGGCAAACCGATGATATCCACTGCGCTATTAAATACGGATGTCATTGAGTAATAAAGTTTGTAATTGTATCTGTAATTGTAATTGTATCAAAAATCATTATTGTTGATCCTTTGTTACATAATTTTAAGCTGGGCTACATAAAGTAACTAAACGCTATGAAATAAACAGCTTTCTCTGTCTCCGTCCCGAGTATACACCCTTGGTCTAAAAGTTTGCTCCACCTTCAATTCTATGTGCTTTCATTTTACAAATGGAGATCACCTCACAGGTAAAAATTGCTAAAAATAGTGCTTTTTATTCCAGATACCACATCTAACATGATTAATGGCACAGAAATACAAAATAACGGTGAGGATAAACATATTTTATACCATTTATTCAATTTGTAAAGATGTACCCCCTTAAATCCGATGTTTCACTGTGCTTTCCACAGAGGTAAAGAATTGTCCATTATATTAAAAACACCACCAAATGTCACCAAACTTACACAATAAGCACTGGGATGTGCTCCTATGAGGTCACCCGCCTGATATCATGTGTATTTTCCGCGTCACATAAAACGTCACAGTAAGCAACTGAACAGAGAGTGAATAAACAAACTTATTTGCTATGGCAAAACAAAACGATCTATATTAACAGATAATTACATATTTGGACACTAGTCCAAATCATAGGAAGAGGCTAATTTTGTGTTTGTAAACGATTATGGCATACAATAAGGGTAGGTAAAACGTCTCGTTGTGCAAAATAATAATAAAATGATAATAATAAAAAAATGCGCATACTTTGAACTTATTTAGGTTGAATAAAAACCAGAAATTCGTCCACAAAATGCGTTTGGATGCAATGTTTTTGAACAAATGTCAGAAAAAATCGGCAAAAATACGCCTTTACTGTTTTCTCTCCCCCAACACGTATGACACTCAAACTGCATTACAATAGCACATATACTTTACATTTCAAGATTGGTGCTGCAGATAAACATTTTCGCCATGTAAAACTTTTAAATATAAATGTATCTATTACAGCAGTGAAGATACATGCTCATCGTTTTGTTAAAATCAAAGTCTTAACTTTCCAATTGAACGTCAGGCAGTGCACTATAAGTCTTAGACTCCGTTCACATGAAAAATCTATTTTCTAAAAATCTATTTTCTATTCGCGGTATCTTGTGATCACTCCGAGAGCAGCAGAGAATTAATTACAGCTTTGGAAGTAACTGGCTCGCGCTGCCAGTAATTACGCCGCGGGGTATTCAGGGCACAGACCGTGATCACAAGATACCGCGAATAGAAAATAGATTTTTAGAAAATAGATTTTTCATATGAACGGAGCCTTAATGCATCACCGATAGCATTTCGTCCACGCTAGGATCCAAGATATATATACGGAGGCCGACTGGTGTCATGTAAAAAATTACTATCTCGAAATTTCGAGGTAGCTACCTCGAAATATCGAGATAATATTTTTATCCAAATTTCAAAATACCAGCTTGAAATTTCGAGATCACAATTTTTTGTCCAAATTTCAAAATACTCGAAAATTAGAGATTATGATTTTTTTAAACATGACACCAGTCGGCTTCCATATAAATGCGTTGTAGCGGAATAAAACTCTGGACCACGATTAAAGTGTCCACCCCGGGTTTAGTTGCGACAGTTCCACCGTGTTACTTAACAGCTGGTCGCTTAAGCCGAAGTATTTGTAGGTGCTGTTTGGCCGCTAAACGCACGTTATCTCTTCCGTGGATGTAGAAGGCACCCCCCACCACTCGGCGCACCTTTGAATTTGTGCACTGTTTGACAAACTTTTTCATATGGTCGCCTGGCCCATAAACATGAAGCGATATTGACATCCACCATCAGCGTTGGTTTGTCTGTCTGTTAGTGGTCAAGATCTTTTCAATAAGTTCTCAAATTTTGATAAGATTTTCAGGATGGGCAAACAGACAGAAAAGAGGGAAGGGACTAATAACACTTTCAACTGAATCTACCCGAAATGATTTTATTGCCTCTTTAATAAATGACTCTGGATATTACGGTTGTGTTAGACAAGTGCACACTCAACAGACAAGTCATTAAGATCACGGGTAACAGTTATTTCAAGACCATTTTAATTTTCATTTAAAATGACAATCTTAGACAATTTAAGTCAAGTAAGCTGGGTGTACAGTTAATTGACCAAAAGATAAGACCCCAGCTTACAGCTACTTGTGGACCAATGATTGACAGTCTTAAGATTCTACCTGTAGACAACATATAACAATAGGCTGTCAGGTACTAGCATACTGGTGTGTATCACACTAAATTAAGAACACCTGGTGATTAACAAGAGTGAAAAGCAAGGCACTTTCAGTTTGTTCAGCAAAGATGTCGTATAAACATGGATAACAAGTGTATTATATAACTCAAGCAACATTATAAAATAAGACATAAGATAAGACATGAACAAAAACAAGAAGTTAAATATGAATGCCAACTATCGACCGCTGCCAAAATTAAATTTAATTTCTCCCAGCAACTTACGAATATTCAAGAAGAAAAAGAAAACAAATTTAAAAATTATTTTATTTATGTGTGCGCCTGTTTGCCGGGTAAAAAAAAACTAGGTAACCTAATTTGAAGTTGGTGAATGTTTTATCCACCATTGTTAATTCAATGTTGGTCCCTTGGTGATGTCTGCATCAAGAGAGAGAGAGAGAGAGAGAGAGAGAGATAGGTATAGAATGAGAAAATGCACAACTCAAAATAATGAATACGGAAATTCTATCCCTTAGCTTTTGCAGCCCTTTGATATGAGGAACAAAATATATCTTTAAAAAATGGTTGATTCTCCAGGTGAAAGCACATTCACCATAAATTTAGAGTAAATAATGTATACAATTAACAACAAATACCAAAGTTTGTATAAAAATATAGCTACCTAAACAGCCCCTTAATCTAACTAGCAATTTTTCTTTTAAAAGTTTATGATAATGTTATGACAATACCTTTGCAATACTGCAGTGGCTTGATTATGGTTTTTAGCTTCATATGTTTTAGTAAATATGAATTTTCTAACAATAAAGAATATATATAAAGATGTCATAATACAGTGCATACAGGACTATTCACTATTTTGTTGTGTGGTAATAATATAATATATGTGGATATAACTGGATTTAACTTTTTTCACAATCGGGACATCAAGAAATCACAGATACATGTAATTTACATATTGACTGGACTGACAATTTTTTTTTGCCATTAGCAATACAAAAGATCCATTGAATGTCATTATGGAAATCTGTTTTTATTTTAGAAGAAATACAGCTGATATATTGAAATTGCTAGGACATGATTAATGTGCAAGATTTTATGTGATTTTGTTTGTTAAGTAATGTACAGCTGATATATTAGAAAGTGATAGGACATGATTGATGTGCAAGATTTTGTGATTTTATGTTTATGTTAAACGTTTTTCCAGCTGTAAAATTCAATTAACAATAAAAAAAGATCCATTAAATGTCATTATGGAAATCTGTTTTTATTTCAGAACAAATACAGCTGATATATTGAAATTGCTAGGACATGATTGATGTGCAAGATTTTCTGTGACTTTATCTTTGATAAATATTGCTAAATATTTTATAGCTGGAAAATTAAATTAGCAATAAAAGATCTTTTACTGAACATCATCAAACTCTGTATTTATCTAAAACAAATACAGCTGATGTTACATATAGCTAGGACCTACTTGATGTGCAAAATTATAGTTATGTTGTCCACTCTGAAATAATTTAACCTTTCCTTCTGAATCATGTTTTGTCAATGAACATGTTGATAAAATCCATTATGAAATAATTTAACCTTTCCTTCTGAATCATCATGTTTTGTCAATGAACATGTTGATAAAATCAGCCATTCCAAAATCATTGGTTCCTATGGCAACAAACCCGTAGGCTGAGACAACAGTCTTTAGCTCAAGGTTGAACACATCTTTGCTGTTTAACATGCCCCTCACCTTCTTTCCCTAAATTGATAATTTTTTTTCTGTAAAAACCAGTTTTTAATTTGCTTTATATCTATGACAATCTAAACATGCTGATAAAAATGAGATTCTGATTACCATTACACTAAGGAGTTGAGTCGAAATTCATCCTGGATATTAATTTTACAGTTGAAAAAATGCACCCAAGCTCATGCCATTCTTTTGTAAACATGTCATTTTTGGATACAGCAGCATATATTGGTTTGATGTAAATAACGTTTATTGTAACACTTGTTATTGCTGTATACTATACTATGACACTCACCTGGGCAAAAAGAGACATAGATGTCCAAGTATTAAAATCAATGCTATTTGGAAGAGTTCCGTTTGCATAAACAACTTTTTGGGCTGAAAAAGAAGATTAAAACAAAGTATAATAATTTCATTAATTACATTTTTTATTTCATTTAAGTATAATGATTTCAATAATTTATCATTTTTTTCAAAACTATATTTGTTTTTAAAAAAGGACTTCACAATCACATCTTTTTCTTGCTTGCTATTCTTGTTAATGCTCATATTCAAAATAATATATGTATTTTTACAGCAAGTCTCAATGAAAAAAACTTACCATAATCTGAAGAAAGCAAAAATTTCCTTTCCTCCAGTAGCAACCAGAAGTACAGGCCATTAGAGTACATGGCACTGCATCCCCCACTGCTGACACGGCTTGCTATAAATAACCCTGAGCTACCATTACTTGCTGGCACTCTACACATGATTTCTACTCTGACATCTGCCCTGCAACCATCATTTAACTTATAATGATCACTGGATTAAGTGTACCATGTATGTCTTGAAAAAAATTCACAAAGAATGGCAACTGATATGTAATTGTTGTTTTGTAATTATGATAAAATCAAGTACACCTATATCTACTGAACATTTTACAATAAATGAATTGTTATAAAAAGTAATTTTTCAGGTAGTAAAAAAGAGGTAAGTTATTTCTTAGGAAACTTGACATGTTTTTACCTGTGAGGCATGATATTTGATATCATGATATTTCCACAAGTCAGTGGTGTAATCATAACAGGAGGTAAAAACACATTTAATCTTATAAGAAACAGTTTACTTTTTTAACATCTTAACACAAGAGGCAATAAAAACATACTTCATCATATTCAGGTACTGCCTTGTAAAATTTTCTAAAGCAAAATCACAACCCATCAATTTCACCAACTCTAGATATTTAAACGGTGCTTTGTCTCCATACCAAGAGTGGTTTCCTATCACAGCAATGGGCCTGGGCATTCTCTTGGGCAAACAGGTGTCTATAGGAGGCTGAGGTACCACCTGACGTAGCACCTTAGGAATTCCAGGTTCAGAGGAAGACCTGATCTCAAAGGAGCCAGCTTGTGGTGCTAGATTATAAGGCTCACTGAATTCTGCATAGTCTGGAATATGAAAAGGGTACAATAATACAGGGCACAGTATGATTGTATATTGATGTAGACAGGATTTTGCCCAGGCTGTATAAATTGTAATACAATATTAATGTGATTGCATGTGACTGTTATAAAACTCACTTATGAATCTAAATGAGAGAGAGAGAGAGAGAGAGAGAGAGAGAGAGCATAATAAATTTGAATGTTCTATGTTTTATTACAATATTTCTTTTTTTTTTCAATTAGAGAGATCTTATTTCTTTAAGGGGCCCGCACACGGTGAGCATTCGGCGCATGCCACTTGATATTATGCTCGCACTCCTCAGCTCCCCGCAAACGATGCGCTCTTTGCTCAGCAGAGATGCCTCCCAGCCTGCCCGTATCGGACGCACCGCGAACTGTGGGATCATGTGATTAAGGAAACATATTTTTTTTCTGAAAGTAATGGCAAATGGTGACCACGTTAATCAATCAGACTAACTATTACTGTGTACATTTTTGTTTACTTCGCTGGAGGCTGCCATTTTTCTTTGTTTCCAGCTACCGGCACATGCGCATTGTTGGCATGGCGTGAGCAATCGGCGCTTGCACCCCGCACACGCTGAGACATTTGCCTCAAGAGACCAAAAATATCAAACACGTGAGATATTTTGCTCAACCGCGTGAGAGGCAAAAATCTCACCAAAATAGCCCCGCACACGATGAGAAAACGGCGCAGCGCAAGTGGTGCGCGCTAAATGCTCAACGTGTGCGGGCCCCTTTAATCTCTTTAATCTCTTTCTAGCTGCATTTAAAAAAAGATGTGTCTGAATGAATGCATTCAATACCTTGGAATGTATCTTTATATGGCAAAGGAAAAGGAGCAGGTGGGGGAGGAGTGGGGTACTGTCCCTTCCTTCCACTCTTCACTGTGGTTAATGTGATCACAACATTTGGCATGACAGTTAAGCTGAAACTGCCATTCACAATCTAGGGGAAAGAAAACTATAATTTCTTGAGCGAGTTGCACAAGGATTTAAAGTGGACAATAACAACAATAAAATATTTATATCCCATTATGATATTAAAAGAATTAATGAGAAATATATTTGTAAATTTGAAGAAAAGTTGAACATGGTTATATTTTGTGAGTATTGGACCCTACACCAGATGCAATTGAAAATGTTTATGAAATATGCTCCGGATTGTTACATAAAATAATGCTAAGAATGTATTCCCCCCCACCCCCACACACTAAAGAAGAACAATACTATTAACAATTAATAAATTATTGAAAAAAGAACATGTGAGTCAGGGATGGATACAAACCTTCAATGGTCCCTGATAAATAAAAATGTCACTGTGTCCTCCCTGAGTAAAGTTGAAAAATGAAAACCAGACTTCCAACTCCTGTATTTTAGACTAAAATGAAGAAAATGCAGACAATATTTCACTCAGTTAAAAAAATTAGAAGCAAAATGCTCAGTTAACACAGTGACATATACATAGACAAAAATCCTTCTTAAGCATACTTAGCAATGTTAGAAAGTGGTCTTTCAAATTAGTACTAAATAATTATAAAAGAGTTTTGACTTCATGAATTCAAATCTACTATACTTACAAATGAGCCTTTCAGTGTGAAAGTAACAGTTTGTGGTGCCACTGTGTACTTAGGCATAGGATAAAAACATGGGGCATCATGGGGATCCTAAAAAATGGTAAACACTTCAACATTTTATATTGTCTTAAAGTTCACTTCTTCAAAAAAAAAGTAATAATAATAAATAAAATAAAAAAATTTCAATTAATTAATCATATAAACCGTTTACATTTCAAAATCTTACATTAAAAAAAAATTATTCCTTCAAAAAATGAAAAAATAGCTAATTTCATTCCTTAATCAAACATCACTAATATCACCATTGAGCAAGATATTAAACTTAGCCTCTGGTAAAAATTCAAAATGCAATTGTGGGCCTTATATTACACATCATTGTACAACCATACCATATTCTCTATCACAATGGTCAGCTGAGACCTGTCTGGACTGGTCAGTGCAATATAACTGCCATTGCTGTCCAGATGACCAGAGCCATGACCATGGTCAAGATAGCTCCAGCCAATTTCTGTGAACTGAGTGTAATGAGCTAGAAATAAAAATTTTAACCAATGAAAAAAACAATTTCACAAGAGTTGTCTCACTATCAAAACTCAGCTTTTACTAAAGCGATTTTCAATTATATCGAAACATGAGTCAAAAGATATGTATCTTTATATAAAAGCTGAAATTGTGCGTTGTCACTTTTATACAATACATACAATACAATACAATACAATATAATACTATTTAAAGAGCCAGAAGTTCTTACCACTCATCCAAATAGGAGTATTGACTACATAATATCCTGACCAGGGCTGGTTGGCTGTCATCAGACCAGATCCACTGTAGGGCAAAGCAGCACTGTAACTGGAGATCAGGTTCCATGCAATGGCACTAGAACCAAAATAATTAATTGTGAATTAACTGCCCAGTGTGTCTATACACAACCAATTTCTAAACATCTTCAGATATGGTTCTTTCTTTTTTCATAAGCTACATAGTAAATTTTGGTGTTTATCGGTTACTTGTTAAAATGTTTCCTGAATTTTGTGAGGTTTTCATTTTAGCATAATACTGACTTATACTGAAAAAGTAAAAGAAACAAAAAAAGAAACTATATTAATATAAATAAAAATAAATATGTATAGCAAGACACAACATAACATTTCAAGTCCCATGAGATACTTTATAACTTAATTTTTAGAATACCTGGTTAGATTTCCATTCACATAGCCTTCATTTAGGACCTGGAATATATAATTTTACATTAACACTTCGAAATCATAAAGAATTCTTTGTATGCTTTATAAAAACTAAGGCTTACTTCAAATCAAATGCATTCTTTCAATTTCATCTCACAATTTAATATGTTAATAAAGCTCTCTTATGCACAGTTTACATAAGCATGCACTACACCATTAAAATGGAATAACCATAAGTTCTGGACCTAATATAACCAGAAATTCCTCCTGTGCAAAAAGTCAGAAAAAGAAGAAGGTTAAATCACTCTCTAGACCCACTGGGATGCCTTGCAGGCACAAACATAGCAGATAAGTCAGATATATCAGCAGATTTTTTATAAATATGCAAAGAAAGAAAGAGAAGGACTTAAAACTGACCCTGGCCCAGCAGCCTCCACCAGCCAGGTTATTGAAGGCACTGTATTCCTCTGAAGCCCACAGTTTTTTCCCAGTCTTTTGAGCATCTGCCGTAGCCATACTACCAGGATAGTGAGCTCTGTAATACATACATAAAAAAACTTTGATATTTTCTTCAAATAATGTTCAGTGTTGTACAAAGAGTCAATTAAAAGCAAGTTATTTGAACATGCTCCTCTATCAATTAACTTCATGAATGAAAGATTCTTAAAATTAAATAAATTGAAGTAAGCAACCTTAAAAGTACAGCTTTCATTCTAAAAGGGAATAGGAGTGGTGACAACGGGTGTTACACAGAGAAACAAGTAATGATAGTCATCTTACCCCAAAATACAGACTGCGTTTGCCAAATCAGGATCTTTCAAGACATCAGACGCTATTCCCCAACCACCATCAGCAGCCACAATCTGAGTATGACTAAATCCTTGATTGTCCAGAGACATTCGTAGCATCTGAAGATTCACAGAAACAAAAGACAAAAACATGTTTTTAAAGAATATTTTTTGTCTGAGACCATTTTTGTTCAGCTTTTAGTGTGCTAAAGCATAGGACCTTCCATTCGATTTCTATGGTATGTGATTTTAAGAATATTACGAAACTGATTTAATTCTACCAGTGCTGATAATATACAGGTAGTTTGCAGAAAAGAAAATGAATCCATAGCATTACCTTGATGTAGTCTATATCATAGCTTCTTTCATTCCAAATCTATACAAGTATAAAAGAAGTATATTATTACAAAAATGTTTTGTTTTTATAATTATTAATAATAAAAATAAAACNTTTTCATTTTTGAAACTTTATTACACAATACACGATAACATGTTTACCATCATTTTTACAAAATCAACTAACAATGTTGTAAAGATGCAGGAAATGTCAAACAAACACTTTCACGTATCTTATTAGTTTAATAATGAGACTGTTAACATGCCTAAAAATTGAATCTGAGAAAATGTGAAAAAACAGCATACCTTCTAAAATAATGGCACGATTATGCTGATTTACGAACTCAACCTGCATTTTAGTAAAATTGACCACTCCTGTGACTTTCATGACAATTAGCCCATCTGTTTTTCTTATATTGTGTTTACAGTGTTGCATATATGCTGAAAAGTGTAAAAAACAGCATAACTAGTAAAATAGTGGCCCAATCATGCCGATTTTCGAACTTGACCTGCGTTTTAGTAAGATTGATTACTCCTGTGAGTTTCATGAAACAGGTCTATCGGTTTTCCTTGAAATGTGTTAACAGTGTTGCATATATGCTAAAAAGTGAAAAAACAGCATAAATCCTACAATAATGGCCCGAGCATGCTGATTTTCGAACTTGACCTGCGTTTTATGAATATTAGTCAGCTCTGTAAATATAAAGCCAAAAAGTAAAACTGTCTTCCACTTATGGTGTTAACGCTGAAAGTGCACGGCGACGGCGACATGATCGGCGACGGCGACGGCGACGACAGACGCAGGTGATGGCAATATGTACAGACACATCTGTGTCTGTACATAAAAATAATAAATAGAAAACTGAACCACTTATATTCAATGGGCAATAAATTGCAAAACTTACATATCCAACACAAAAATGCACACACACACAGTGGACTTTGACATATTACTTTATAATTGGAATTATCGTTTATACTGAACAAATCTCATAGAGTGGAATTTAACCTATGTGCATGTATGAATGACAGAAAAGTAAATAAATAAATATCAATACCCCAATATAATCAATCTGCAAATTGTGCACTTTTGCTGCTCCCTTGATCCAGGAAGTTATATAGTACACAAGTTTCTCTCTCATAGCATATGGATTGAATGTTCCATTTCCTAACCAGCCAGGGAACACCCAGGGAAGACCATATAGCTTTATGTTGGGATTTCTCTGAAATATTCGTGAATATGACTTAATTATAGAAAAACCAAAATTAATAATAAATGACGGACCAAACCTGGGCTTTTTTTCACATAGAGCAGTTAACTTAAGCAATACAGTCATTAAGTGTAAAATTTAAGAGGTCTTCACATGTATACATGCTACTGGGCTTTACTTTTGTTCCTACTGTTTAGCTACTGTTTAGTGCCGAAGGCTAAAACCTAAAAATATGCATAATATTCATCTAACCAAGAGCTATGAAAGTGTATGGTATGACCTCTAATATTTCAGCAAGTGCCAGACACTTTTATTGGGGAGTAACTAATTATACTTAAATAAGTTAATTTCACCTTGAAAACCAGGTCAATGGCCCTATAATCACTGTCTCTTGATAAGAAAAATATAATATTCATGTCTTACATAAATCATTTACAAAGCTTTTAAAAGTATACTCTCTCAAAGATAATTCAATTAAAACCTAAAAAATATTTCACCTTCTTAGCCTCCTTCATCATCCACCATTCATATCCTCTCTGGAAGCTGACATCTTCTTCTGTGTGCATGTGAGATGACTCCACACCATCTGAATATATGGATTAAAATATACAATCAGTAATCAATATTATAAAATTACCCACTAATTTACATGTTATACATACCACAACAATACATGGGTAAGTTGCTAAAAAGCTAATTAGATACTGAAATTTTCAAATTAACCAGGGGACACTTTGTGTAATTTGTAAAAGCATTGTACATGTACCTGTACTTTGTGAATCACCTCCAATTTCTACTTTTAATATTTGAAGGGAAGCGCCAAAATTGGGCTGAAATGATCATTCAAGGATTATAATATATACAAAGCCGTATCTGACGAAATGAGAAAAAATTATTGATCACAATATATATTTAATGCTTACAACAGCTACCTTCCTGATCCTGAGTTAATTTCAGTTTGTGTTTAATTTCAATACATTTCATAGGTAGAGTGGACAAGATTTCAATAAATTATATTTAAATGATTTCTATCAAAAACTTATTGATGGGATTGGATTTGTATCAGATAAAAACTCACCTTAAATAAAAAATCTAGCACCTGGTTTCTCTGAGCCTCTGGATAATTAACCAAAAGCTTTGATGTAGCCTGAAAGGCAACAGATTTCATGTTAAAACTTAACTTTGACAACTCAGCAATATTTTTTTCTTATAGATTTTATAGGATTTTCTTTAAAATAAAATTTAAAAAATAAGAGATAAAAAATATTAATTAACCAACAAAATCTTTTGCACAAACTTCTTAGGAACTGTAGACTTGTGCAAATTATAAGATCAGCCATTATAATATTGTCATTTCAAAACTGAAACTATGAAATTCTTTTGATTGTAAATACATTAGAGTTTGTTCAACTATACCGTTCTTGGAATTTATTTGCTTTTTATTGAAAAATGGAACAAATATATATTAAGTATTTGAAAAATATAAAGTACTGGAAAAATAAAAATGCAATAAAATAAGAATGATAATTCATCAATAGAATAAAAATAATGATTTTACAAAAATTGTAGTCGAGAATTGCATGCTAAATTTCATTCATGCAGTGGAATAAAAAGTGCCCAGAAAAATTTCTAATAATACCTACAACTGTATTTCAGACTTATAGTCAAAGCAAAAGCCCTTCACCCAATACAGATCATAATTAATATTCATATGTGTACTTACACCTGCACTTAATCCCCCAATCCCATCAAAATACCTCCCAAGTTCATATGAATCATCTACAGTAATTTTCTGGTGGTCATTTGGCATTCCACCATCAACTGCCCAACAATTCCGAGGCTAAAATAATCATATTGTTATGATTTTTAAAATTATTGTCCGTGTTCAATGCTGCTAATTAAAGTGGGGGCTGGGGTTGCCTCAGTTTTTCGGCCTCACATACTAGGTTCTTACCGGTGGGTAAACCTAAACTTGCATTAAATCTGAAAACTGAGGAAATGCAAGTACCTATAACCATAGAAGTACATGTAAAGTACTGTACTTCTATGCTATAACCTTGTAACATGTATAAGGCCTAATAACGAGGCAATCATATTCAATCACTCTGACATCTTTGGGAAATAAGAGAAGAATGATGGATGATTAAAAAAACATTCTGGCAGTGCACTGTCATGAAATAAGCCAAGACCTAAAACTTACTCCTCCTCCACTTATTGCCCCGATACCATCAAAATTTCTTCCCACTCCATACGAGTCGTCTACGTTGACTTTTTGAAGAGCACATTGTGCTCTACTTAGAATAAGCCCTGGGAAAGCCAATAAAACAAAGAAATTATATGCATGCCCCATTTCCATCGGTTTCACTTATGATGTACTTGTAGCATCATACTGGTAGCATTATCAAGCTAGCACATAAACATTCAAGTGGTCAAAAAAATTTCGGTCATGTGTTTATGAGTGTTTAACGACTGGTTCCACGCCCGCTTCCTCGGAAACTAGCAAGATCTTTGAAATACGAGCACAAAGGATGCATGTGTCTTTTGTTGAAGAAGAAACCACTGCAAAATTTAACCGTTTAGCAATGAGACACCAGGGCCTGGAACCGGCGAAAGTTTGAGCATGTGACCTGTTATTTTCGTTTACATACGGGTTCTTGACATGGCCGCGTCCTTAGAAATCGCGCTAAATTTGTATTACATTTCAATTTTTATCAAGACAACGATTGATGTTTAAACTACAAAGTTCACATTATTTGTGATATTACTCTTGTTATACAATCTATAATGGATCACTTATCGAAGGGTTCCTCTATGCAAGATGCAAAAGTGAAGGCAGATAGATTTGCAGCTCTTACAGATGCAGGAAATATTCGAGTGAAAGCAAAACAGGCAATCTTGCAAGAGTTGAACACTCAGCTGCAAATCAAAGCAGAGCGTGTCAGAATGTTAACCCGCCAAGGGGCAGATTCTTCAGATAATCCTTATGCTTCCCCCGGATACGAGCACCACCGAAAATTGCCACGTGCAGAAAATATGAACCCAATCTCTCTGCCACCCAAAGTCAATAGGCAGTCACCAAGGCCAAGGGGAGGGAAGAGGACAGATGCTGACTCAGGGTATGGCATTCACAAATGCTGTTTAACACACACACACACACACACCTAATAATTGCAGCTGTATAATGTGTATTTTGGAAAAGGCCAACAAACCAGGGGTACTAACAGTGAGTCAATTTACACAGTAGGTGGCAAAATTCTGGATTATAAAATTACAGCTTGGAATCTCTTGATAAAAAAAGGGAATTCAGGAAGGAGATGGTCAATGTGCTGCACTCCCTTAATTCTCTAGCTGTGGCCTATCATAGTACTTATTAAAATTTGTAGCGATCGATTATTTATTGACTTAATAAAACATATCTGTTTTTTTCTGATCATTCACACTCAGCATGTTGCACTTTTATGTGCAATTGCCATTCATTATCATTTGGTCTTAAGACATGACTGGATAATATTTGGGTCTTATAGACTGCTTGTCCAAGCACCACCCACTGTAAGCCAAGGCTCAAAGATCCCTCTGTCAACAGTCAGAAAAAGAAGAAAGGAGAGTAAAAGACACAGACCAGATTATACTTGGAATAAAGGTGGAAGATTGAAAGAAATAAGGATAAGGTGATTTATTACATATATTGGTTCTTTAGGGATATAATGTTCAGGTAAAAGGATAAAATGAAGCATTCCTCTTTTTTTCTTTGATTTTTTTAAAAAGTCTTTGTTTTTGTAGTGGCCTCTCTACAGTAATTGCTGTGTGGCAGCATTATAAATATTTTAAAATTTGAATGAATATGAATAGAAATTTAATTACAGTGAGTGTTAATAGACACCATGTTTTAGTTTTAAAATTACCATAAGTTATACAAAATTATTTTCAGGCACTTGGCCAGAAAATATCTTTACATCTGGATTAGAAAAACATTTGGACGAGTTTTACCATCAGTAGCAAGGTGAGACATGACATATGAATGAAAACTACATTTGTTTGAAACCAAAACTTCAAAAGATTATTCAAGTTAGTTTTCAATTCATAATTGAATTTATATTAGTTTTGTTTTTCTGTGAAAATAGTTAAAAAATTTTTTCTTTCAAAACCAATTATAAGCTTAAAATATCTTTAGTCATGAATTTAACTTGTCAATGAGGGTGGGTAATATAATGTGGAATAGATTTACAAAACTACTTAAAACTGGCAGCAAAAACCCTAGGTTTTAACTAAATATGCTGCAAATGCATGTGTTTTCTCCACTTTCAGAAAACATCACAATACCCAAGTACTAAAACAAGCCTTTGCAGAGTGGTATGAATTATGGTGGGTTGCAAGGAAAGAGTGGAGGCTGCAGGTCAGGGCAGAATGTCATAACAGGTACATTATATATTGAAATGATTTTCTTTTGGGTGATATTTTAGAACTATGAAATACAAACAAAAAAAAATAAACATATATCAAACATTTACATAAAATACCATTAGAATGTTGATGCTGTAAACTGATCATAGATAGCATATATTTAATATAGTAAAAGCAGATATAATACTTGTAAATTGATTTTATTTGCCTTCACTTACAGGTACCGTGTATGGAATGTAGTGTTTAAAGCATGGACAAGATACACTGTTCTTCAAAAGGTTAAGAATGCAAAGAAGGCAATGGCAGAGCGTCATGGTAAGACAGTGTCCAAGTAAATTGAAGTAATTGTTGAATTTAAGAGTGAGAGATGAATTAGAGCGAATATGCTAATTTCTAGATGTTTTGGCATTTGAATACTTATGGCACAGGCCTCAGCTTTTCAAATTTCAGGATATGGCAGGGGTTCTGACTAAAAATTCTTCTATGTGTCACACTTCTAAGACATAGTAGCATACTTTTTATTTAGTTTTCTCCATGGCAGTATATGCTACCGTGAAGAAATGAATATTTTTTAGCATTTCAATTGATCTAAATAATATAATCTTTGCATGAGCCTGGCACCCATTCCCTATGACAGCCTAAATTGTTTGCACATATTTTTGACTTTTGTAGAAAAGTTCTCTCTTTTAATCTTATTTTTTATTGATGGAATTTGTCTACCAGGTAATGTCAGAGTGCTGAGTAGAGCTTGGCAAGCCTGGAGGCTCTATATCAGGATCAGGAGAACTAAGAAAGGTTTATCAACCAGAGCTAGAGTATTTGCCACTGAAAACTTATTGAGGTAATATAGATAATTTTTACTATTACCGTATTATATCTAACCAGCATGTTAGTTTATGTATATTTGATTAAATGAGATAATGTTACATGTTTACTACAACAAAAATACAACTTTGACGAGGTGATTGATTTATGAATTTATGTGTGATGGGGAATTAAAATACTTTATTATGTTATGTTTTAGATCCTGTTGGATACGCTGGGTGATGGCTTTTGACAAAAGACAAGAACAAAAGGATGTAGAAGTATTTGCACTGCAAATTTGGGCAGAAAAACTGCAAGCACAGGTGGGTTATATCCTATATCCTTGTGGAAGGTCATTTTTTAATTTACTTTTGTTACAGAAAAAATATATTTTGTGATACCTTTTAGATGTTAGAAATCATTTGATGAAATAAGGATGCTATGGTGAATTTATGTTTTTAAGGTTTGATTTTTTGTCCTCCTTTTAACTTATAGTGTTGTTCAGAGGCTTTATTTTTATCAGAGTGAAAATTCTTCTTGTTATTCTGCATTACATTCCTTAAATGGCTGAAATTTAATAGCTATATTAAATTGCCTATATCAAATATTCCAGTGTTGGTTGAAGTGGAAAGCAGCATTCAAGGCTCGTCAGCAGGTGTATTTTAAGTCCAGGGTTGCAGAGAAACACAGAGATGTCAGACTTCTCTCAAGGTGCTGGAAAGGATGGTTACTTCATGTTATTATCAGGAGGAGAAAGAAAACACAAAAAGGTGACAAACAACATATTGTGTTTCTCTGTTATATATTCATGATTATACTAAAGGACAAAAATAGCAAAACTTCAGTTTGGCACAAGCAGTATATATTGCCTGTTGTTATTGAAAAACAAAATAAACTTCTTTTCCAAGTTTGCTGATCTATTGAATAGCATGTTGAAAAAAAAAATAAATAAAAAAAGACAAAAATAAATGTGTTTGAAAAGATTGTATATTGCTATAAATTACTATAGTTGTCAAAAAAAGCAGTTTTCCTCTTTTATGTGTTATTTATGGTTTTCAGAAAATAGAACAGAAGTAAATTTAAAGTATTAAAGTTTAAAAACACAATTTCAAGTAAACATATATCTTTTCCAGATGTTGCCATGATGATGTACCAGAACAACTTAAAGCAGCGTCTCTTTAGAATCTGGTGTAAAAGATGTCATGCTGCAAGACTTGTGGCTCAGGTACAGGAGAGGATTGAAATACTGAGAAACAGGGCCAGGGCTAGAAGAACATTAGAACACTGGAAATTTTGTATCCTTTACAAAAGTGAAATTTTGTAATCTTTTGCATTAATTTTTGAATAATTCAATATGAATGTAGTTAGTAAAAATTGAATTGGAATATTATCTTAAGATGATTTTTTTTACATAGCTGCTTTTACCTTTTGTAATATTTTTTGTTTTGGTAACAGTTTTGACAGAGTTTCTTGACCCTAAAAAGATATCAATTTAAGACAAAAGAAGAAAGAAAAAGAGCAGCAAGCTGATGAACACTATAGGAAACATTTAATGGTGAGCCAAACTTGTTGTTATTTGCGCATAGTTATATTGAATTCACTGATCTAGTCCTGTTTTACATAAAAGGGATGTTATTGTTTTAAGTGACATATTTATTTATTGCTCTATTCCAGTCTTCCTGTCTGTCAGCTCTACAGCTTAATGTCGTCCAGGAGAGACTTCAAGTTATGAGGAAAAGAATGGCAGACCAGTGCTACAACCAGATGGTATGTTGGTGTTTGTACTCTATATTTTGCTTAAGTAAGTAATTCATGATTTCAGATATGTAATGTAAGATCCCTTTCTGCTAAGTAGAAGAATTCAATCTCTGATAAGAAAAGTATTTAGCTAATATATATCTATATTATAACAGAATTCAATCCCTAATAAGAAAAGCCTTTTGTCATGAGGTCTTTTTATAATTTTGCTTGTGGTCATGCCTATGATTTTGGTCTAAACAAATACATACAGTATACATACAAAATGAATTTGTAGTAAATGCTCAACCTAATTTTCAGCTCTTGCAAAAAACCTGGAACAAATGGATAGCATGCTGTGATCAGAATGAAGAGCTCAAGTTGTATACAGTTAACAAAAAGGCCTGGACACACTACAAGTAAGCCTGGCAACAATACACATTATTTCATGCAAGCTTGGCTGGAATTTTGGAAAGACTACTTTTATTCAGTATCACCAGTGGACTGCAGTATCTTTTTGCTGAACTGTGTAGACTTATATTTTATTTTACTGTGAACTAGTAGACACTATGAATCTTTTAATATTAGAGTTACAGTATAAAGTGATTAAACAAGTTCCGCCTACTGACAAATTTGATTTAACATGACATTTTGCTGTCTTGAGTTTCCTTTATTGGCTATATATGTTTATTTAGGATGACTCTCCTGGGGACTAGTTTTGAGAAATGGGTGAACTACAATATCTGGAGACAACACAGAAAGGTAATTTCCATACTTACATTTAGGTGCCACTTGTGAGGTGATTGTTTTTCTTTATTTAAAAAAATTATTATGGTGACAAAGCCCACTAAATAGCCCAGCGTTACGAGCTTACAGTCACCTATTATAGTTATACACATTTTCATTCAGTAGCTAACATTTGGTGTTTTGTTTCTTGACACTTACTTTCTTCTAACATAAATCCTTAAAAAGTCCAATTTCACAGATATGTAGTAAAACAAGTGTCCTGTTTGTAAGTCCAATAAATAAAAAGTGTAGGCACACCAATAACCATTCCCTGATTTTACAATTGGCAAGCTTGGATGTTTCCTTTGATTCATGAGTTCTTCTTGCCAGTTGGTAATTTTAACTATGATGATTGAGTTCTGCACCTTATTGTTTTTAATGATAGGTATTCTCATTATCTTCGGGGTTTTTAATGGCATTCATTTTTTTGTAGGCCCAATATGCAAGGGCAGATGCTCACTACATCAACAGACTGATGCCTATGTGTGTCTTTAGATGGAGGCAATTTGTTAATTTAATGAAACAGAAGAGGGAAATGGAAAATGATGGAAAGGAATTTAGAAGGTTAGTTAAAGTTCCATATTTAGTTGTTTTTTTTGGTCAATTTGGCTATCTAAATTCATTTAATAATGATAGAGCACTTTGGTCATTTATGAGCAGTTAATGTAGTTTAGAGTGGGATTCTATGGACAATAAAGCAACTTCACTAACGTTATGCATTGCTTTCAGAGAAAATCTCCTGGCTAGATTTTTCTACACTTGGATGGAAAGATGCAAACAAAGTCAAGAAGTTAGACTTATGGAACGTATGGTAAGAAAAATATGATAAGAGTGTAATTTATGGAGGCAATTTTTGAAGTGTATAAAAGGGTAAACATTCTATATTTGAATGATATTTGGGTATTTTATTCTTTTCAGGCCATTTTACATGACAGTGAGATGACAACACGGAGATTTTTACTGAAGTGGAGAAATGCTACTAAGGAGAGGCAGGTGGATATGAAGAAAGAGGTACTAACATGCTGTGATTGCTTTAAATAGTTTTCTTATAGAGACAGATAAGAAATGGAAAACACTGAAAACTTTGTGGGTTTGCCACTGTGTATATCAGATGCTTGGGTTTAATAGTTGTGTGTGTGTGTGTGTGTGTGAGAGAGAGAGAGAGAGAGAGAGAATTCATTTACAAACTACATTAACCATTTATTTTCTAGGAAAATGCTCATGATCATTACCAGATAACCTTGATGAGCCAAGCATTTGAAACATGGAAGACATTTATAAGGGATTCTAGGAAAAGGTAAAGGAGTTGATGTCTGTACTCTGCATATGATGAACTATTGTTATAAGGATTTTACACTGTATTAAATTCAATTACATAAAAAATCCATTTTGTTCATTTTTTTGAGGTTTTTGTGTAAAATACTGGATATTAATCCTACTTCTAAATGTGGACTGTCTGTTTCAGCTATGAATCAGAGAAGAAGGCTGTGAGATACCATTATTTGAAGACCATGGGAGTGACGTGGAAGGGCTGGAGGAAGGTTGGTTATATTTCCATTAAAAAAGTGTCAAATATATTCTTTAGATTTTTTTCCTTTTGTTTTAAAAACCAAAAAGATGCAATTCAGAAAGTGTTAGTTCTTGATTTATTGTTAAGGAAACCAAATTCATACCTTTCAGATAGCAAAACAATTAAAATGAAATCTGTCATGGAGTTGGATTTTTTATTGTTATTTTAGTACATTGGCTATGAAAGAAGAAAGAAGACAAAGCTGCATCGGGCAGTTGTGTTTCACAATCAGAAAATTTGTGGCAAAGTCATAGGGCATTGGAAGGAGTACTGCAGACGTGCTGCAGTAATAAATGAAGAGGTAGAGAGGAGAGCACAGATACATGATAAAGAGTTACAAAGGTCAGTGAATGTAAGATGCAGTTGGTGATGTACAAAATGTCATATATATATATATATATATATATACAGATATATATATATATATATATACAGTTTAAAATAACATTCATTACAAAAACAGCAAAAATTACATTACGGAATCTAGATCAATAAGTTAAAAGCAATTAAGAACATTAAGAACTACATGATGATTAGAATTGTAACGAAAGTGGGTGAAAAGTTTGCCTTTATCTATTTTAGGAGGTGCCTGATACAGTGGCACAGGAATGCTGTAGAACAGAAACAAAACAAACAACAAGAAGCCAAAGCAGACAAGTTTCATGGACATATCGCTTTGAAAAAGGTACTTTTTTTATCAGCATCCAGACTACACATAAGTATCAGATCTGATTGTCTTATATAAAATAATGCTGTCTTATATAAAGAAAATAAAAGAAAAGACCTGTGTTAGATATTAATGACATCATTTAATATTCTGGCATATGTTATAGGTCTTCTCTGCTTGGAGAGAATATGCAAATGTTCATGCTTATGAACACAAGAAGACTGCAGAGAAATTGCTGTCTGCTCAGCAACATCTTGGTAAAGGTAAGGTTATTCATTGATTTATGGTATTAGATAAGTACAGAAGGTAAAACAGATATGACCAAAACTGAAATTTTGTAAATATTGCTTTTATCCAATTTGTTTAGATTTGTTTGCATTAAGAAATAACTTCTTAAAGATTGGACACGAGAAGTATTAATTGTGACTATTTTGAAAGGTCTTTATTTTTTTTATATCATATATTTGATTTCATTCAGTGAAACTACACTATATTCTAACAAGATGGTACCAGTTGAAGAATGGAGCAGTGATACAGAGACTGAAGTTCCAGCAGGCTGTGGAGCACCATAACAATACACTAAGGATGAGGACTATAACTGTGTGGAAGAACTACACAGTCCTTTGTCAAAGAAAGCTGGTACAGTGAATACTTTTTCTTTCTTTTCAGTCTTGTTTTATTTTGCAGAAAATGACCCATCTTTAACTAAAGCAGGCACAGACAGTTAATCCTTTAAATTTGCCCTTTTATAGAAATTACGTAGCACCTTTTCTCAGAGAAAACACATAAGTACACACATACTCTGTTTTTATATATATATATATGTATAATTTTGTATTTGGGCTACAAGCCTATTTCCCTCATCTCCATGGGTTTGACCTAGGGTTATCAATATTTCTCAAGTCCCCTCCTCTTGGTGGAGGGTAAATCTGATAAATCATTCGAAGTCCAATCTCATGTAGAGAGGATGTTGAATCTGAACAGAACTTGGATGTCCTGAAGCATTTCTTTATTTTAGAGTGTAATAATGATATTATGATTAAATTATATTGAAGGATATGAAATGTCAAATTTTTTAAAAGTATCACAACAATAAATGTATATGGATTTTTATACCAGGGGTGAGCGCAAGGCTATGTATTCTTCCATTGATATCATTTGTTGTTTTATTGATACAAAATTTTAATATTTTTTTCAACAAAACATGCCCACATTGCTTGACCTTTCTAAAAAACTTGTCATAAAATATTACTCATATATTCAAATCTCTGTATTCTTTTTATTTACTGTTTCAGCTCCTTCAGAAACAATGCATGTGGTTGTACACCACAAGGCTCACTGCCAAGTTCTTCCTCAAGTGGAGGGCTCAGTTTGCTGAGGCTCAGGAAGATCACACAAAAAACAATATGGCACTTTGGCAGTGGAGTTTTGTACTACAGAGAAAAGTAATTAACACATTTATGATCTATGCTATTAAATTCATTGTGTAGAGTTTGGGTGATAACTTGATAAATGTAAAATTTGGTCACTTCATGGTTATTTCTCTTAGAAAAATCTCAGGTTAGTTCAGCAAAGAGAAAAAAATCCCTGGGGTATTAAGATAGGCTCCATACCCTCTGCTGAATTCATCATTTGAAATGCTGAGATATATTGAATACTGGAACATATTTAGTAAAATTCACCACCTAAGTTACATTATTAGATGGATTTTTATTTCTGATTCTAATTGGCCTGGATGACTCAAAACATTGAGATGTATTTTTACAGTATAGAGTTACATAGATAATATGCTGTGTAGCCCTAAAGAATAATTGATTTTAATGGTTCTTTTGTATTCTAGGTGTTCCTGGCCTGGCAAACCTATACACATGAGAGGCATAGAAAGAAGGCCAGGATTGAACTGGCCATGGAACAGCGCAGATTACGCCTCATCAGACAAGGGTGTGGTCAGTGGTTAAAAGTGGCCACAGAACTGAGTGAGGTCAGGTCCAAATTGGCTGCAGAGAGACAAGCACAGGTGAGTCATTTTGGTGTTTAGTGGACAGGGATGAGGTCAGTGGTAGAAAGCTGCCATAGATGGGCAATGTCTAGTCTTAACTGACTACAGAGAAGCAAGTATAGACGAGCCTGTAAACTGAACACTTTGGGTATTACTTATATTCAATTCTAACCGAAATTCAAAAATACTGTTGGAAAGGAAATGTGAACACTTTGGAAAAAGTTTGTGATATATGTTGGACATAACATTTGTACTGTCTTTCAAACAGTTTGGAAGTAATATCTAATCATCTTCCAGACTGCATACAATATCTATCAGCTGGTCCACAAGTGTGCCTTGCATTGGAGACAATGGACAATCAAACGCAAAGCAGCAAGACTGGAACAGGGAATAACAGGTGCCCCTTTACCTGGGGGTGAATCTGGCACAGGCAGAAATGCTCCTGCTAGGCCTCTGGAAAAGCACAGAGGAGTCCCAGGTTCCAGCAGACCCACACAGAGTGTGGCTTCACCACTCAGGAGTTTGAACTTGCCTGGAAAACACCAGGCTGGAGTAAGGGCATTAGAGAGGTAAATTAATATGCTGGAATGTCTTAGGTCATATGTTGTAGAAATTCTAAAATAAATTGTTTCAGATGATGCTAAAACAGAGTTTATATATTTGGTTTCATAAAAGTTATCATAAAACAGTTCTTATTCTCAAGACTTAGAGATTTTTATACATGCATGCTTCCATACAAATAATATATTTAACTGATATATTTTACTTATTTTATATTTTGTCTGCTGTTTATTTGTTTCCCCCTTCATTTTCACTTGATCTAGTGCTCTTCTGGGACCCAATGTGATAAGACCAAGCAGACCCAGGCCTAGAAGACCAGACTTTCTAATTGACTCACTGAAAAGAGATGGTTTATACCACCCTACACCACAAAAAGCAACACTGCACACGAACAGCTCTCATCCAATGACTGAGCCAAGCATACAAATGGCTCTGAAAGGATTTTCTCCAGCCATGGCAGAAGATGAAGAGTCACAGCTACAGAATGTGCAGCCAACTGTGCTCACTTCTCAAGAACCAGTTGTGCAGCCTGGTGTGATACCCAGGACAGATAAAGACAATGGGAAACCTGATGCAAGCAATACTGGTGTCTTAAGTTCTATAGCAAAGGGCAGTAGGAGTAATGTTTGTTCTAATGCAGATGTTGGGATAAAACCACAGATTCGACACTCGCCCACCTTACCAATGGCATCTTCATCAGGACCAAAATTACAACAGATAACAACAGCACACAAACCAAGTGATATTCTTATGACTCCTGCAATGTTCATGACAGCGCCAAGTGATGGCTCAGAACAAGCTTCACCACAAAGACCTGTGCTGCCATCTGGTAATTTAATGACGGAAGCATCTGTGCTGACACCTACAAAAAAAGGGGTGCAAATACCTTTGACGCCTTCAACTTCCACGCCCGAGAAACATAGTGGGAAAGAAAATGGCAAAATGCTTTTGAAACCTGATGACTTTATTCAGTCACCTCCTGGAGCACATAAACTCAGTAAAGAACAAGAACTTACAGATATCAGAAACAAACTGCAGGAATACAATGATAAGAAAAAGAAACTGAGGTGAGGAAACTATCATTTCTTTGGAATAAAAAAGTAAAAAATTTGGGCCTGTTACTGTTATCTATATCAATCATTTTTTTGTGTCCTAATGTGATAAAATTTTGAGAACAGAGGTAAAATCATCCAGTTGATGTTATTTTAAAAAATTTGCTCCCTACTGATTTTTAGGTTGTTAAGAGAGCAGGAGGGTCATTTAAGAGAGTGGCTTGAGGAGCAGCAGATTGATGGTAAAAGTGTGGAGGAGCAGCATGAAGATGTAGACCAGGTGAAGGAGGAATTAGAGGAGGTAACTAAAAACTTCAACCATCTCTTTGACTGGGGTTTACAGTTACACACTGCAGTGTGAATACTCATTCTTTGCTATTCTTCCCACTAAAATAAAAATGTCAATTTTGAAATAGGTATTTAAAGAGGTTTGTGTCACATTTCCATTTAGTGATATAGGTTTACTTCTTAAGAATGAGCTGGATTGCAAATTTTATAACATATTGATATTTGTTCTTCTGCATATATTTGTTTCACTTGTTTATAAATTCTTTTACCTCTACTGACAATGAAAATGTGATGCGTTTGAAATTTACTAACATTGAGTTTATTGATTTTATCTCATGTCAGTAACAGAATATGTATTTTCCTTAATTTTTTTAAAAAAAATATGAAGGTTTCCCTTTTTTTTTTCAGATTAGTAAAGAGATCTTAGAGTTTACGCTATGGTTACACAAAGAAAGGAACACTTGCCAGAGATTAAAAGAAAGAGCCAAGAACATTTTGGCAGAACTCCAACAGATAATCTCATGATTTGTCTGAAGACATTTTGAAAAGCTCTCAAAACATGATGTTTTTGAAAAAAATATTGGACAACTGCTTTTTTATTCTCTGTCTAGTCTAAGTTAAAACAATTAGAAACATAAGTTTTCATTTAATTAAATGTAAAACATGCTGGTAGAGTACGTTTATCAACATCTGGGAATGGCTGGTAATAATAATGATAATAATAATAAAACATGGAAGATCTTTATAGGCATAGTTTGTCCAAATAACCGACCAATCACAAATGGCACAGAAAACGGAAGACAGTAACTTGTACCTATTGTGGGCAACTACCGCAGGACTAGTATGGTGCAACCGCAAAACGGAGGCGTATCCATGGGGGTGGGGCAGTACTTCCGCGTACTGCACCAGATGCATAAGATTTGCTTTGATATGCATGGGTTAATGTTACAAGTTTTATGCGTTTTACAGCCCCATAAATCAGTTCAAATTAATTTTTTAGACTTTTTACGAGAGAGAATTCTCTGAACAGTTTGAAACAGCGAGCCGCTTTTTTTCAGACGGGTGACGCACAGGATTTTCAGATGTCTTTGGCAACAGATTGGAAGAAGCTAAACGCTTCACCATGAACTTTTTTATGCTCAAAGAATAAAATGTTACAAAATAATTGAAATTGTTTCTGTCTGTCTCATTAACCGAATATTAATGGGAATGTCACCTCTGTCCAGACCTGTCATGACGGCACTGATTGTGTTAGTTGTGCCACAACACAATTCGTCACAGTCAGGGGATGAGTCGTGATTGCGGTCCCTAACTATTACCAGTAAAAAAAAACTTTCCCCATACTAGTATAGTATTCGAGTAACACCTTTTTAAGTTAAATTCTGACAGTTGAACAGGTATGAGTGAAGGTTGGTTGCCTCTTGGCCCTTCGTGTGTGTTTGCCTCGGACAGAGAGGAAATCAGCATGACGAAGATAATACGGCGACACAGATCGATAGAAGAGCTGCACTAGACGTGGAGACCTGCCAAAAGCTGGGGGAGTTAATCTTCTGCAACACTCCAGTCTGTCTAGATAGTTCCATTGAAGCGATCATTATACCATCGCATGCCTTTTCACTACTTATGAGGCCGAAAACGTATAAGATATTTCAGAAATGAAAACTTTCAAGATAATAGAGAGTAAGAGAGAAAACAAAAGAGCTAACGAACAATGGCATAAACAAGGTTGTAGATTTTTTATTTAATTTCTACTTTATTTTTTTTTTTTGTTAATTTTTGACGGGTGTAAACATTGATTCTGGTGAATGTTGACCCGGTCAAAGCATGCTGTAATTTTTTTACATGGCTGGGTAGAACACGTCCCGCGCCTGGCTTCGCCATGACCCTTTATGACACGTACGTGCTGACAACAAACCTTTAGGTAATCATCACTTCAAAGATGAACATTGCATTAGGCATTTGATTTCATTTGATCAAAAAATAGATCACGGTTTGATGGCAGAGAAATGCGTTATCTCACACAAACGTCATCCAACACGGTGTTTATTATTACTCATTGAACTCTGAAAAAGGGAGAAAATTCCTCTTACACAAATATCAAACATTTTGTTTCTAATACAGAAATTTCGTCTTTGTAGACCTCTAAAATGAATCGTTATAAAGCATATGCTATCTAATTCTCGTAGACCCCTCCCCCTTCAAAGAGTTGACAATGAAGCAGTGAAATTTTATATATAAGATAATAGCCAAAAGAGAAACTATAAGATAAAAGCTAAAACAGAAACTAAACAAAAAAAAACTTTTCCTTTTCACCCACGCTTTACTTTAATGCCATCAAATTTCATTTCTCCTTGTTGAACTCAGATAGAGTCAAGAAACATTTTCACTCACACTCGTCAAATCTACAAGTAGTTCTTCGCAGTTTATTTCTGCCCGTTGAACTCTGGAAGAGTCGAGAAATATTTTCACTCACACTCATCAACTCTAGTCCTCAAAGTTTATTTCTCCTCGTTGAACCCTGCACCCTCTACTGTGCCGGCATCTATACCGGCTAGGTGACGGAGATAGTACACGGTCGAGGTGGGACCAGGGTAAACAATGGCATACTGCCACGGGTGGTGAAGATATCAGAACTCCGTGGAAAGCTTCTGTCTACAAGTGCTTTCTAATCACTGCTTCTGTCGGCTTCCTCTTTCTCGGGGAACACAGCCCAATATCAGTGCAAACCATCTGAACAAAAAATACGTGAAATGGTTTTTTTGTAATCAGAACGTTTTGTTCCAGTTGGTTCTTTGAGTTTTTTTTTCGGTTTTAAATTTCTTTGAACCAGGAAGACAATGAAGTGTTACACAAAATCTGCAGGTTTACCCTAGGTGTTGGTAAATTATAGGCTTTGGATTTTTACATAATCAAAAATTTCTTTATTTCAAGTGGCCACTCAATGTGACCACGAGATATAAGTTGAGTATGGATCAGGAAGAAATTGATGTGCTACACGGAATCGTGCTGTGTATCCTCCTTGTCGACTTGGAATCCTGGAGGTTCGCATATGACAACTAACAATTGGGGGCTATGCTTATGGAAGGTCCACAAATAAGTGCACTTTTTCTCCGGTGCAAGATCTTACTTTCAGCATCATCATGTTTTTTCACTGTAAGAAAAGCCTGTAGTGCTATTTCACCACAAAAATGGTCAATTCATCTCCCACTTTTAAACAAGAAATACCGACAGTGTACGTTGATGACCTATCGCTAACCAAGTAGCAGTTTCAACACATAACGCGCCTCCGAAAGTTGAGCAAGAGCGAGGCGCCCCTGTCATAAATTGAAGTAAGACATGCAAACACACGAAGGCTTGCGATCACTGTTAAAAGTCTGGTTTATAATAAATCCATCTTCACCCTTAACTATGATACCTCTGCCCAACAACATCACTCTAAAAAGCATCTGTCGACCCGCGACTGTAAACACATGCGTTTCCAGACAGAAAGATGTGGAAATGGATAAGTGAAATTGTCTTGGATAGGCTCAATATTAACTCGTTAATCAAATTTGACGAAATAAAATGATGGTAAGAAATCAGGAATAGAACAGTCAAACAAAAACAGTGGCCAATTTAATTTCTATTTATTATCTTTTAGCCGTATATTCCAAGTTAACAAACCCAGCAACTACGCACCTCTACCTGTTATATATTTAGCATTAAACAATGCTATAAATCGTGAATGAAAAAAGTTTTGTTTCATTCAACCTCATCGTCTGTGTAAAGTATCCGTGTCATAAAGGTGGCACTGTTTGTTTTTCGCCGATCATATAGTGTCATAAAGCTGTCTGGGCTGTCTGCGAGGCCCTGCTGTCGTTCCCCGTTATTTGCCGTAGGTCACCGCGTGTCAGCTGATGTTAGGATACTGATAGCCTTCCAGATATCAGCACAGTCTTGTCATTTTATTCCCAACCTGTACACCCTGTGTACTGCATGAACACGTTCACGCGTACCTGTTCATGACAGTAAAATTTTTATAGATAGTCCGAGTAATAAAAATTCCACATATTACAATAACAGCGATGTTTTTTTCATAACCCCGCAAGCAAGGGCGTTAGTACATGGAAGTCTCTGTAAGCTAGTTTTTACAACTATATATTTTAGCAGGTTGTGGGAAATAACGCTCGAGCTATGAACTGGTTGGTATATATCTAGCACAAGTTTCTTACAACTTTTCTTCTGATCAGTAAATTGACATGCATAAAATCATTAAAACGCTCTTTGAAGATATTCTAGTCCAATCTAAATAAATGATTTCTAAATGGAACCAGAGGTCCCATTGAGTCGGTCCTGCAGAGAAAAGCACTTTAGTCGTCTTAAAAGTCTTATTATCACACCTTTAGTATGCTAAGGTTATCACCGTGTTATTAATCATTCACCTTACCAACCTGTCACCCCTATGTTTGAAAATGCAGAGCCCAACAGAGGGCGTGAGTGGCACGCACCAGGCAAGCTACAGCGCCTGATCGTTTAAGTATAATCGTCCAAAAGCATGTGGATCGCGAGAGATGAACGCGTTAAGCCGCAACAATAAGCGCGCACCCAAGTATTTGCTTACGTAGAGTACACACACATATATACACCAGGCAGCGTGTCTGCGAATGCCAGTTGGAAACACAACAGCGTCCGGTTCAGACTGTTAACACTACTGTGACTGTCGTTAAGAGGTGTTGTTAAACAGAAGAGGAAGCGACAGACGTCCATACGTCGTGTTTACACCTGGATTTTACGTTTGCCATTAAGGAATAATCACATTTAAGCTCACGGAATTCGTATCACCTTTAACATCACACGGCTGTCGTTTGCACAGTTTATCTGCGGCTATGGAGAGCAGAAGCGGAGTGTGGATTTTTGCCGTGATTTTTTCTTACCTGGTCATCCTGCCTGTTAGGGTGGAAGGGTGTCCACCAGAATGTCTTTGCCGAGGAGATACGGCGGATTGCAGTTTCAAGAAGTTTAAATCAGTCCCAAGAAACATCCCGTCTTCCGTGCAGAAGCTGTAAGTTATAAACTCACGAGTCATTTGTTGTTATTCTTGTAATAAATGTTACGGTTGTTTCACTTTCACTCAGAATTCAGTAATTTAACTTGATTGGAAGGTAGTCGTAAAGTGTCGGATAGACATTTTTGACATAACATTTTGACGCTGTCTCAACGAGTACATCTCCGCCTTCAAAGCCGATTTTCTGTATCTTTTTACGTTTGCTTTAACGTGATTTAGCAGTCGTGGGTTTTAAACGGGGTTTAAGGTGCTTTCCTTTCAAATAAGTGATCAATGAAAGGTTTTAAACGCTGATTGGTAAGTCTTTTCAGCTTGTGATTCGGTAACCCATTATTTATCCGTCACTTCAGTCCACAGACCTTAACAAAAAATTCGGATTAAAGGCCGCAGTATATCTGATATGTAAACTGACTGAGAGAGTTTTATTCTGAAGGTTAAAAATGCAGGATCATGTTGCGAGATCTAATTCTTTCCGGACACTTAGTTCAGCATTCTCTCAATGAGTGTCCCACTGAGATAGAGGGGTCTTGTGTTGGTTCCAAACCGTCTTCCTTTCTCAGACTTCTCAAGCGAAACATAAAATATTAGAAATTTAAGACGTGTTTTAACGAAATAACAGAGTCAGTCGTTTACGTCAGATTGTACTATCGTTTACCTTTCCTTATGTATGTAGTATATACATTTAGCCTGCCTATAGTATAGGGCCTACTAAATAATTGTAGTTCTTGTATAATATTTGTTGAATGTAATGTATATAGTCATTGTTCTTTCTCTCCTTGCTGTACAATACAACACGTAATTAAATTATTTGTTTTTCTAGCGATTTGGAGGGCAACAATATCACTGTTATCCGTCGAAATGACTTGAAAGGATTAACCAACCTGAAATACATGTAAGTTTGCTATACGTTTTATGTTATTCTACACACCTAGACGCTGTTTTCACATCATGTATTCGCTTTTGGTTGTGTGCATCCCACTCACACGATTAAAACAGTTGACAGAATCCGTTACTGCCGCCTAGAAAGCTTAATTGATTGCAGTGTCAAAGTAATCACATATTTGTATACTAACGCGGTAATCTATTCACTGGTTTCTTTGTTCGCTTTTCCAAAGCCTTGTGATGTTTTGCGCTTAGAAATTCCATTTGAATCACGATTTGAACTTAAAAATCGACAAGCTATCATATTTTTATCATTCATTACACTTATGTTGTATATTATATCGCCTAACCATATTTCTAGAACTGCGTATTCAGCAACACTTCCACTTCATAGACACCTTCTGTGAAGCAGATTATAAGCGGAAATAATTCATGAAATCATAAAATTCGCCAAGCGTCAAGACAATTACCATGCTTGCACCGCAGATTATGAGATAGTGATCAATTTCTATTACTGCAGATTGCTTATTACTCATAGTGTACGGAACATGAAACGCGCTTGTACCAAGTTCATCCACATAAATTAAAGACCAACTAGTTATTATAATGCGATCACCAGCGTTTTTAATCTTGAGATAGATGATAATGAAATTAAGAAATAATTTGAAGGCATTCGTTACGCTTTGTGACTAGGGATAAATATGTGTATATATATGAAAACCTATTTTTATTTATATTCTCAGGTATTTGTTGGACAACCAAATTTCTACCATAGAAAAGGGAGCATTTGACGACTTGGTGTATCTGGAGAGATTGTAAGTAACAGTTTGAGTTCACTATTTCATATTCAAAAATAACTTTAACGAGATTCCAGATGAATCGGCTTATGTGAGAGCGTCGTTATCCGTAACGGAATTTCACAAAAAGTATTCAGGTTATTCTATATTTTTGGTAGCATGCCTTCCTGCTCAGGTGAAATAAGCGGATAAGAGCATTGTTTTGGCCACGTAGGTATTGGGTTGTAATGCCTGGTAACTCTCAATCACTGTAGCTTATGCGAACGCACACGCACGAGTTTTGGTTTCAGAGTGTAAAATTCCACTGGGACATATCCGTCCTGCTGAGGAAGACGAGAACACGTCGAGGAAAGGGTTTTGTCCCCGCCCTCGCAAAAGTTTACCTGTATTTGATTTAGTAGTTTAAGGTGCTAAAAAATAAGTCCACCACAAATATGCAACTTCAGAGTTCATACGAGAACACGTAGCGAAACGTTCGTTAATCCCTTCACGCATCGCACCTTATTAAAAGAGAACAAATAGGCAATATCTCTCTTGTTAGTTAAGATTGTTTAGACATAGGCATAACTTTAATCAATGCAGCAATGCTTATTATTCAGACTACGTGATAAAACTAGAATTTCCTGGGTGTTACTTGAGGATTGCATTGTCAAGTTACGGCACTCACAATGTGCGGAGAGTTTTTGTCTGTGTTCGCACAAGGGCGCTAACAAGATAAGGCGCGGGATATTCTACTAAGTCCAGCAAGCAGTCTCCTTTGGTACTGTGTAGTGAATCCCAGGCTTTATTAACCAGTGCTGGAGATAAACACGAAAGAGTGAATAAATAGAACAACAAAAACTTTCGGTTTTTCTACGGTTGTTGTATTTGAGCTGGGATCTTCGCCGCTTTCATTGTGTTAGGATTTTTCTAGTGTCTGATTGTCTGGATCGAACTCATTCCTTCGAAACCCCGAAAAATTATTTTCAGGATTTTCGCGGGCAAATTTAAGTGTAAGAATTATTACTATCGATCCACTGAGCTTATATTTCACTTAGAAGGGGAAACGGATACTCGTCTGCTTACTTCAGGGCAAACAATAAGTGACTAGTGTATCTAGCTACTCGTCTCCATAAACCCGATCTTCCTAGCCCTAGACACGTTTCCATACACATTCCTCTGACACTACTGTAATTAAACTTGACGAGACCCCAGTCAAAAGGCCAAAAATACTCCGCAAACAATTGGGCTTATCACCAAAGCTAAACTAGTTTTACGAAGATCGAATCAATGGGCATTTTACTACAAGAATCGGGAAATTTGCACGAACGACGTTCTTGTGGTACGATCGTTTGTGCTGTTGTAGGGATACCGGATACGTTTATTTCAAACTTGATAAAAATGTGTGTACACAAAAAATTAAGTGTTGTATTTGACCTTCATTGTATCTCTCATATATAAAAACAGAAAAATCCCAAACAGATCGTGAAACGGGGGGAGTGTTTATTCCCCTACATTGCCCTCTAAGACTAATATTTTTCTAATAAGACATTGACCAGAAATGACCTGTCTCATGAGAAGTGTCTACAGCCCAGAGCCGAAAATATAAAGCTTTGTTGAAAGAGCCAGCAAGGAAAAAGAGAAGAGTTTCCCACTTCATTCATTTTTGTCCAAAACATGTCGCCTACTGTGTCATGTGCGCGTTTTACCTGACAGGTAAAAAGCGTCTCGTTTGTTCAAGCCACTTGAATTTTCATGTCCACGAACTATTCCCTTATCGCTTAAATTGTCTGTAATTTTCTCTCGCCAAACCTAGTATCATCATTTCTCTAAACAGAGCAGGTAGCAGTTTCGTCTCACATGGGAGTCTTAATTAGAAATTAATCAAATAGAGACCTTCCTTATCGCTCCAATTATCAAGCAAAGAAAGGACTCTGTACTCTGTTCTTTACTATTGGGGGCACGGGCCTGTCTTTATTTCCAGTTTCATTTTGTCGCTATTAATAGAAAAGGAAATGACATCGGCCGTCAACAGTACCACAGTAATCGAGCATTGTTTTAAGGGATGGGAATTTACCTTGGATAATTATCGAACATTTGAAACCACCAGCCATTGAAATTATAACGACAAACGTGTCCCTAAAAGTATTTTCAAGGTGTTTCACTGAAGCAGAGACATTCATTTTAAATGCAGTGGAAAATATTTAATCAAACCAGCTACCCCGTGTTTTCATAACTTCGCTACAAAAGTTAATTTTGGAAATATCAGTAAAAGCTTACGAATGAAGAGTCAAGAAAACAAGAAGCAAAATCAACAGAGAAAACCAAGTGCCTTTCAAACACCTTTGGTCGATGCTTTGCCTCGAAGGTTAAAGCAACAATCAAAGATGAAAACCTCTATAAAGCAAGAACAACAGTTGTGGGGCGCGCCTCGTGAAATGGATTTTACCCTGAAGTGCGGCAACGTTAAGGTTACGAAAAAGCATATAAGTTTCGGTCGATGAGATGCGGGAAAATGTGCAGACGCTAAAACGAAACGCTTATTAAATAAACATTCAAACAGAGACATTTCCGAAATGCAGAATTAATTTCAAGAACTGTGTAAGCCCAATATCAGCTGGACTCGTATAACATTTAGAAATTGGTCTCATCTTTTGTGACAAAATGTCCCATCTTACGCATGCAAGTATGGATAAACATTTCAGGTGCAGCACACGCGAGTCCAGAATGAATGATCGATTGGGTTTGGAATTGCCTTGATTACATGTTAAAATTTAAGTTCCCTAATCTTAAAACGTAAATGTACCACAAACAAGGATGGGCTTAGTCCGTTACAGTCCCCGTTTTTCTAGTGCGCCGTTCTCTTTAAAAAAAGTATTGGGACCTATTGTACGCGGGTGTAATTTTAAATAATTTTGTTATTTTAGTAATGAGTCACACAATAGCCCGAGGACTTTCACAACATGGGAGATATTGTCGATAACTAAGGGAAAAAAAGATGCGAATGTGCCAATCCCGTACAATTCCCCCATCACTTTGCCCTTCAATTTTATTCCTATTTGTCCCGCCTTTCCAGTTTGTGGGGCCAAAGGGTGACAGGCTGATATGCGAAAGTGAATCAAAAGTATCAGTCAAGAAGGAAGATAGGGCTCACAATAATTGCGGTCCTTTCCCGGGTTTGGCATTAATGACGTACACCGCACTATCATGTAAATAATACACATACGGATCATTTGTGTATCTTGATAAAAAAAAAATGTCTTGGAGGTACGTCTTGTCCCAAATCAATCAGAATTAAATCAAAACAACTTCTGAGCGTTATGTACTGGAGTAAATGAAACATATTTCAGTTATTTCATTATATTAAAATATAATTATAATTTTTTTTTCTATTTTCTTTTCCAGACGACTGAATCGTAATAAGTTAACCAGTCTGCCAGATCGTCTATTTGAGAAGACGCGGGGATTATATCGACTGTAAGTCTAAACTTTCTTATCAATCCTGCGTACTGTCTGTCATTTTTTTTACGTTTGCAATAATCTTTTGAGCAAAATTTGAAACGCCGTCACAATCGACAATAGCTAGCGTAGGTTTTATTGCGTATGCGTACATGCTAAGAAGTATGGATGTTATTGGCGTTGCTTAAGGAGGAGCTCGGTGAATTGATTAGTTTACAGCGTTCACTGAAGAAGTTTAAGTGTACGAGGTTGTTTGTGTTAAACCCCTGCCCCTACATTTCAGTTTGTTTCTGAACTCTACAGCACTAGTCTTTAATCTAAAACGATAAGTTTTGCTAAAATTAATCTCTCTGCAAATCCCAAGCAAATAATAACCCCAATCAATATCAATTCTACTTGTATTTATTCAAACATCACCTTACCACTTACAGGATAACAACTCGATGGCCAGTTTCCATCTAAAGTGCTCCATACTTGGTATTTATCATCTGAATAAAGGCATAATCATTACACTTAGTAATTTCAAGTTGATAAGAGGAGTCATAAGCCTTTGACAAGACACCTCCTCTGATTGCCAGGTTGACAGTCACCCCTCTAACCCTGGCTCTGACCACAGAAATAGATTATTAGATCATTATATCCATCATTTTTGTCATCCTTTGACACAGTATTTGGAAACATATATGGCATGTCACCACAGGAACTGGCATTCCCCCCACATTATTAGGAAGCATCTAAATAATTTACATTCCGTACCTTTATGGAAAAAAATATTTAAGTGACATTCAGCTGGACTGAAAATATCACATAGCACCACTGTTTAAAAGTACAGCCTTGGGATTTATATTAAGCTGATCACTTTTAGAGAATCTCACCCTTGCCATCATTCTGTAGTACACATTAACTAGGCTTTAAAAGGCTTTCAAACTGTGCATTCTGAAAGATCTATTTTTCTCATACAAAGGTTCACAAAATCACAAACACTCAAGCCCTAAGGGCAAAAAGATCTGTTTTGACAGCTCCTGAAATCCCTACAATCAATTCCCCTATGAGATCAACAAAAATTAAAATAATTACATTTCTAAATGTAGTTCAAATGGTCCTTTTACAAAGACAATGGCAATTGTTTAAGTAATGACAATATCTAGTAGAGCCAATTTCACCCGTTAAAGAAAGACGAGGATGATGAAGTCATGCAGAACAGAGTTCATTGTAGAAAGGTGATAGACAACATAAGGTACCAGAAAAGGATTAGGAATGGATCAAGAACATTTAACCCTGAAACCCTAAGTGCAATTTCCAGACACATAACTCTATTGTTTACTGCATTGTACCATTGTTCATTACGTATACCTACATAACTGTATAGCACAAGAATTACAGTGGTCACATCATTCTACAGAAGGTTCAAGCTTGTTGTGGAAGCCAAAGAATGAACACTGATTATAACTAATACAAATAGCATCCTATCCTTCTTACTTGAACCAGGATTTAATAAAGTGGTTGTAAATTAGCTGCAGCAATAATTGTGCCTCACGGTGACATGTGCCTGGCAACAAATCCTCTGGCAGTTGTGGGGACCCTTGAAAAGTGAAAACGTCTGCTTAGTGCCAACTACAGCGAAAGTGCGGGTTATCCCCTATGTCAAGAGAGTTGATTACTGATTTCAATAGCAAACTCAAGTGCCTCAATGAGATACAAATATTTCTTATTTAACACTTGGGAACATGCAATACCCATTTCCAATGTAGAGGGTAGCAGAAAGCAAGCAGGTGACAAGTGGACATTTGGATTATGAAACAGAGCTGTGTAAAGTCTGCCCGTTTGAAGATTTAGATATTAATCTGACGCTTGTCAACTTAGACAACTTGTGCACCTGTATTCAAAACCATGAGTTGTAATTTATGAATGGTTAATTTTATTCAAAAAACCAGGAAATGAGCGATCAATTTTTAAGGTTTTCCCATATATATATATTGAGATGATTTAATCAAGTAGACTTTTTTCATATCTAAATCAGTAAAAACCCAAATCAAACATCAGTGGTTTGGATGTGGCTTACAAAACTCCCATATCCTGCTGTCAACTTGCCGTCTGCTACAGTTATATCTCCGCATTATCTCTAATTTAGTCACAATTTTACAAAGACCCCCTACACCTCGGGGCTTAGAAACCAACATAACATCCACAAACTAAACCTCAACACAATAAATTACTCCTATATTAAGTCTTAAGACTCCTGAACAGAAAACCATAGGTTACGTTGTAAATGGCTTTCAGAAGACCTCAGTGATAAGCAGTGATTTTCTTCGTCTTAGTCATTATTTCCCTTGCTTGATAAACCATGCCTGTAGAGGAGAGAAAATTCAACCATCCAGTAGTCATGTGTCATATGGTATCCATTTTCCATCCATATCTGAAAAAAATAACCATATTCAGAACTCTTGAAGCATGATAGCCCCCAGTGAATGACATTTGCTCATCTAGAGTTGTAAACCCTCAACCAGATCACATTGGGTTGTATGTGTGCATGTGTGTGTTTTTATCACTCCACTGAATGAAAACTAGCTGGAATGGGATCCTGGTTCTGTATTATCTATGACAAGATCTGGCTTTTTAAACCATGCATCAATTATTAAGTGTCTGATCCTCTTCACTGATACACCTGGAACTCTTTCAAGCATGCTCAGCTTGCTAGTAAGGTCCACTGGTTTCTGAATAGCTGAGTATTTTCATGTCTGTGCTGCAAAAAAGCATTCCCTTGTTTTTTATCTATAGTGTGTGGGCTGTGTTTTTTCAATGGTTTACTATTGTACTTAGAACGTGCACTTAAAATTGAAATAATAACCCACTTAGGTCAATGACTTTCTCAAATGATATACAATTTGGTATATGTCTTTTGCTTTCTCATATCTTGTTTTAAACCATCAGGTAAAGTCAAATTGTAGATAAAATGTCCTCATGAAAATATTAATATTAAAATTTATCTGCTTATAATTAATTTTTACAAATATTTGGAAACAAAATATCACATTGATTTCTCATGAAGAGAGCAATATGTTATGAATTCAAAATGATTCAAATGAAAGCCAGACAAAAAACAAGCTTCGAGAGTTTTCTGAAACACTACACACCATATCATGTCGATCACAATTTCCTTCTCTTCAATCATGGTGAGTGGATTGACTGTGCAAATATTAATTTTCACCTGTATATTTCGTGGGAAAGTTGGTGATAGATTGGTCTTTTTTTTTTCAAGAACAGTCAGTAGGGTCCAATGAAAACGGCAATTTGGAGTGTCCCTTTAACTTAATACAAAATGCTTTGATGGTTGACACTCTTGAAGTACTTTGTGCATGGGCAAGTTGAGTAATTTTGTCAGGTTCAATGCATTTTAAAGCATGGTCAAAATCAGTATAACATTTCCTTTGGTCAACAGTATGGAATTTAATTTATAAAACATTGACTAATGTTAAGCATTTCACTAGAAAAACTAGCCAGTCAATAAAATAACTGTTTGCATCAACCACTTACTTAATATACCTCTCTGAATTATCAAGCTAAACTTGTGTAAGTTAATTGTGAGGTCTTTCTGTTCAATGTCTCCTTGTTCATCAGTGAAATACCCTGCAGCTCTGTAGTGAAGTGTTGTGATGATTCATTATGTACTAACAAGCTGCTGCCAGAAACAGCTCGAGTAGGGAAAAAAAATCAGAATATTGACCTGGAACTAAACGTCTTCTATGTGGAAATCTGATGCAAGGCTCTTCATATCTCAGGCACATATCAGATCAGGTGGGGGATATTACCCTGAGTCACAAGGATCGTTAACTTAATTACCAAACTTTACCTACAGCAAATCTAGAGGCATGGTGCTTGAGTTTAGAATATTTAAATTATCTGTTTACACTTAGAATAAATGGGGCATCTTTTCGAAAATGACTATGACAAAAAGAGTGCCTTCTTCTGGTTTCTGAACTTTTCAAGATTATTGAGGAAAAATTTGAAAAAAAACCCAGTAATTTGAGCTATATCTACTGAAAGACTACTCTGGTTTCGTCCTGATATATGTGGACGAAAATACATTTGATTTCCACAACAAAACTAGATTAGCGGAGGCTTCCTCTTTTGAAAATACCTTTTGTTGGCACATCGTGACCACACATAAAACTGCAGTATCTTTTTGGTATCTGTACTGTAGGTCTGAGACTGGGTTACGGTGGCAAAGATCCACAGTTTTGTATGAAGTGTGTAAATTGAAGATTGTTACTAAGCTTTTGCATTGTTCGACACCACACCCAACAATCACATAGCTTGCCTGTTTGTCCTATCAAGTTAGAAACAGAATATGACACCCAGCAGAAAAAATTAGATTGCATAACAGAAATTTTTAAGAAAAACATAAAAAGAATACCAACAATTTATTACTATAACCCCTAATTTCCTATCATTTAATAAAGACAGATACACTCATTACCCAAATCTGTTTCCTTTTACCGTGTAAGACTTTTTATGGTATGTCAGGTGAATGAAATATCACGTTGATAATGAGAACTAATGGCAGGGTCAAATGCAGGGTAGTTCAACAATACCCAGCATCTGAAGAGCTCTAACAAGGGCATCTGATATCACAGGTCTGTTGTAGAACCACTCGATATGAACTAATTGAATTCAATGCATTTAGTTAGGTAGGGGAGACATGTGATGATCAAAGTCTTAACTCACAATCCTCAACAATTGTAAACAATTCATTTCTGCAATTTTACAAGAGAATTAAGATAAAGCGTTGAAAGGAATTAAGGAATGTGAATTCCACCTGCAAGGGGAGTGCTTGTATTGTTAGCATTAGTCTAGAGTGCAGAAGGAAATCATATATAATAACTGGTATCTTGCTGTGATACCTAGATTGAAGACATACCTACGAGTATGCTATTAATAGTGTCATGAATTTTAATGCACAATTTCCCTGCAGTGCTTTAATGATACGTTGATGTAGCAAAAAACAAATACATGTCCTATGTAAGCTTAATTACACAGCATTTAACCTATACTGACAACACAATGTGATCTGAACAATATATCAAGTAGGTGTATCTGGAATGTAGTTATCTGCAGCACAGAGAAAACAGACCATTTTCAATCTTTGGTCTGTTGATCATGGAGAACATGAATCCCTTTTGCAATCTAATAATTCCCTGATCTGATCAGAATTTCTCTCCGGCCTGTCAAAGAGATTTTCTCTAACAAAACATGAGGAGTGTAATTGATTGTGTCCTATCAATGATATCTTACAAGGGTTTCGTCACATTCATATCCCAGACCTTGTCTTGACAGAATTCTGTAAGCTGAGAAAAGAGTGAACTTTAATATCTCGTCCTCTAGGCATTTCATAATGTCATTCGTATTTGAGGGAGCGGGGAGGAAGGGAGAGAAAGGTAGAAGAGAAAGAGCCAGGAAAAGCTTTTTAACCGCATCTTTAAAATCTGCTCGAAGCATTAAGGGTAAAAACAAGTATTCTTAAAATCTCTTTTATGCATCTGTGCATGTACTTCAAGTATTAAACTGCTGAACAAACTGACATGTTGTCCAACCACAAAGTTTACCTTAACAGTTATACCATGCAACAGTAGCACACAGTTAAGTATAAAGTTTCAATGAACTTTTGAAAGAAAATACATGAGGAATTCTTTTTACTGGTTTATGAGTCTTGTTCTATATTGGTCTTTTTCATGATTTTGCCTATACTGTAAAGTCTACATAGTGGAAAACAATATCTTACTGACATTTCCATGTATAAAAACATTTACCTTTATTACTCAATCAAAACACAAAAATAGCTCTTATCCCATGCTGGTCATCACCATGTAGAACTGCACTCATACTGTGAACTATTCTTGAAAACTTGTTTTAATCCCTAATAAAACAACCAAGAAGCATTAAAATAAAATAACATATCATATTCAAATGCCACAGATAACAGGCTCTTTCTTGAACATAGTTTGGGAAATAATTGAAAAACGAACCCTAAAAGAAAGCATTTGGTAAATTTTCACTGTAAAGTCGTGTTTCCTGCCTAGTTGGGCTGACCTATCTCTATACACAGGATATACAACCCATCTTACCATCTTAGCAGGCTGTCTGATTACTTATAGCTCACCAAAGAAAGCAAATCTTATCCCTTAGATTCTCCAAACTCACTACCATTTAAATTGAATGCTATTAAATTATCTTCATATGGTAACCTTATTTTAATGATATTCCAAGATAAGAAGTACCAAGATATATCAACCCAACTTCACTGGAAACACTACATAAGGATCTCCACAAAGGAAAGAACAAACATGCTGAAATGTCTACACTCAAATTTACTGTGGGTCACTTATTTGTTTCTCAGTAGGAAGTCCCACTAGCAATCCAGCTATTTTACTCTTGTAAACACAAGAACATACATTTTGGGAGTAGATTGAAGTAGTATTTGGTTGTTTTTTCTTGTAATGAAACATACTTCAACCAAGCACATAAAAACAACTCACTGAATTACACATGGCCAGGGTTAAAATCTGTGTGGGCCTGGAGAGAAAATAATAAAGATAATATTTTCTTAATTTTACCTCTAATTATGAGTGTATAAAATATTCTTTTGATGGATAACCCGCCCCTGCAAAAACAGATAAATAATGTAATTAAATATCTTTAAAAAGGTCAAATACCATATTTTAACTGTAGATGGATAGCTGCAATCTCTCATTAATGTGTAGTCACATAGCAATATAATCCAAGCACAAAAAAGGCCATTTATCCTTTAAGATATAGATATCGTCTGCAAAATATAGTCTTAAAGAATTGCCAGGTCAGCACTAAATGCCCTGCCAGTGCTAAGAAGTAACCTTTAAAAGCTTTGCTTTTTATTTACTGCATCATAAGCAATTTTGACAGTGCAGGATCATTATTTCCTATGGATCAGGTATTCAGTCTATGTCCTTCACGTCTGTATTAGCAGCCACCCCAAACTCTGGCCATTAACATTTCCCCCCATGGCACGCGGTTGATGGAGTGCGATTCCAATCAGGGCAATTTAGCATCTTTACACTTAATTCTATGCAGTCAGCTTCATTAAATGAGACAGCTTATAACTTAGGATGAAAATGTCAGGTATAAATGAGTTGGACCTTTCAGCAAGATTTACCTTTATTTTCCTATATCCAGGTAAATTGTGAACAAATAAGGTCGGTTCTAACATCAACATATCATGATTTTGCATGAAAAATGTTTCAAACGTCAAATCAGCTGAGCAGTGCTTATGATGGTCTAAAGGAAGAGGAAAATCTCATTAAGTTAGTAACTTAAAGTCAACCTTTTAAAAGTCCGACCAATTCATCAGGGAGAGGTCCCATGTCAACACCAGGGGAACACACC